ATTATTGAATTGATTGTATATAGCTATAATTACGCGGATCCGTATACAATGCAATCAAAGCGGTTTCTCAATAAAGGAAGCTATTCCGGTGTGTTCGTATGGCCATATTATTCCAGATATAATATTGTTCTGAAAAACAATTTGTATCTATGAATTATTTGATAAAATGTTACTTCATGGGAGGATGCGACGAAGTTGATTCACTAAATCACTTATAGAAATAAAACAATAATAGAAATTATAATAATTATGATTCTAGATTAACATACAGGCTGACTGACAAAATCAGCCCAAAGCCATATAGCTATTATTAACTATATTCGATTTTGAAAAACAAAGAAACAAATGGAATAACTCATCAGATGCTAGCTATAAGAGGCTCTGATGTTTTTCTTTTTTTTTTTCTGTTCGAGATTTTAATTGTGATTACAACGATGTTTGACAAGTTGACGTTTGGACGAATAGAAAGTAAATGTTCATTGCACATTTTTAACCATTTCCAGAGTAATAAATGGCACACACTTCTCTTCGAATCCCCTCTTTCAACTCCTCCAGATCAGTCATGGAAACCATCCATCCTTTTCTAAGTGGTCCAATGTGCTTTCAAAGAAAAAACAGTAAAACACAAAGTCGGTCGACTTCCAGATTTTTTGGTCTGTCAACAAATACTATACGATACTATACGATTCTACATCATTGTTAGATAGAACAAGTTCTTGAAAAGTCCCCGGAATTGGTAAACCAAAAAGAGGAAATGATATATTTTTTAATCAAATCTAATGGGTCTAACAATAAGACAAAATGTTTTCCAGCGGAATATTTCAGCACGTTGTTGACCGTGTATCAAATGGAAAAATGTCTTATCCTCTATTTATCCTGTTTCGACTGATTTCCTTTGTGAAATTTGAATTCCGGCTGATGATAGCTTTCTATATTTTCGAAACATGTAGATACCTCCATTGAAGTTTGTGGAGATGCCTTTGAGTCTGCTTCCTTTATCAAGTTGATAATCGTTTTATTGATTCAAATCTGAATCACGAACCTGATTTGGCTGGCAACCATTTCCATAATATACGATTCAGTTTACGTGTTTTACTATATGAATTAGTTCGAAGTAATATGTTTGTTTAATATTTCAACTCTGAATTTTCTTGCCCTTCCAAACAGTTTCACTTCACTTTCGTGTAATATCCAGGGGTCGTACAACGATGGGGATGAGGTGATTGGTAAGTGGGTGAAGGTTAGTCATGCAATTGAATACAGAATTCATAGAAGTTTCTTTATAGATAGTGATCAATTTGATAAATAAAATGATGGTCTCTCATTCCACGAATACATTTTCAGGTTATCATTTCTTATTCTCTAGTTGCATTGACTAAGTTTTCACCGCCAGAGGTTTTTGAAGAAATCTTGTAATCATTGCTACACGCGGTTGTATCAAACTGAATATAGGATATATAGGATATGATACATCAGTTCAAAAATTTTTATCGTCGCTCCAATGATAAAATTTGGTTCGGTACCGTCCGTATCATATTTGAACGTACCTTTCAAATACGCAATACGTGTTGCCCGCATTACCATATCCGCGTACTTTTCGGTATGTTCTAGATTGATTTATGTTCATTCGTCGAGTACATCCATGTTCAGACATGTCTTTCAATCAACGAAACATTAGGTTCTCGACAGATATATTTTTTTTATTATTACTCGTCCAAACAGCGAATATTATCGAATACTGGTAGTAGTGGTAGTAATGGTGATATTATAGGTTACGTATCATAGGTGAGTGCATGAGTTGCAAAAACTTCCCAATAATAATTTCAATTTCGATGATTCAGATATCGAAGTAACCCTGCTTTGCTAAAATAACTGGTTTGCCAAAAAAAGAGATCATGGATTACCAAGATTTCGAATTTGCATTGGCAAATGCGATGATCTATCTAGATGAGGATAAAAACCTTAGGAACGGTGATGACCAAGCAGATCGTGATTGCTCTGATGAAGAAAATGCAGAAAGGTTCCAACCGAAACGACAAAAGGCTGGGTCAGCCTATTCCTGGTAAAAACTTGAGGACAGAACGTGCTTTTCATTTGCTAGAATTCATGAGGGATTTGCAAAAATTGGGATCATGGTATCGCAATAATCCAGGAAGTAACAAGCTCACCTCGAAAAAAACTCATGACCTAAAAGAGGATTTTTTGAGATCACTCTGTAAATAAGAGGGATAGAAAGACAATTCGCCGACTATCTGACGGTAATAAGATCATCTTCATGCCTCTGTTGTCAAAGTTGAGAAAAAAATGTTTCCTTCATTTGGGCTCCTTTTGAATATTCCAAAATTTGGCACAGTGTCGGAAAACACCATGTAGAAATGTTGTGCTGAGACCCTTATGTTTCAAAGAAGTAACAGATTATTGCTGAAAATCTGGGCTAGCGAACAGTGCGAACCAAATTTAAATTGTTGAAAACAGAAAAAAGTTATTCACATTATAACAGGGGCAACATTTTGGGGTGCGAAAAAACTAGTGTTGAGTAGTTTATATATATGAATAACAGAAAAAGATTTTGACCAAGATTATAATGTCTATTGATGAAAACCTAATGTATATTTAATGATATGGGTCCGAAGAGGATACCGAATAGGACATTCTGAAAAATGAGTCTACACCTTTTCCAGATGTATTTCAGAAAGCGTCAATTCAATTTCAGAAAGCATCAATTTGTATTTCAGAATAGTCAATTGTATTTCAGAAAGCATCAATTGTATTTCAGAATAGTCAATTCAATTTCAGAAAGCGTCAATTGTATTTCAGAATAGTCAATTCAATTTCAGAAAGCATCAATTGTATTTCAGAATAGTCAATTTAATTTCAGAAAAAGTCAATTGTATTTCAGAATAGTCACTTGTATTTCAGAAAGCGTCAATTGTATTTCAGAAAATATCATTTGAATTTCAGAAAGCGTCAATTGAATTTCAGAAAGCGTCAATTGAATTTCAGAATGCATCAAGATCGATTAGTTAGTAGAAAGTGCACTCCATGTAAGAATGCATAGGATGTTCTGTGCTTCCTGTAGTGATGTTTTCATTTAATTCACCCCAAATTTTTTTTATGTACCTTTTAGGTACCTATATACTATTTGATGAACAGATCACAGAATTTCAGGAGGGGACAATCAGAGATAAACTTCTTTCTATTGCTATAAAAAAGTTCTGATTTTTACATGTTTGTCCAATCGGAAGTGACTAGCTGTTTGAATGATACTGTAGAATAGGCTCCTTAATAACATTTACAAAATCAAGCTCTGTTGCTATGTCGTAAATGTCATAATATTTTCACGACTTATGAAGTTGCCTGGCAGGAGAACACCCCGTGGAAAGTGTCTGGCAATTATTGTATATTCTCTATAATATAATATAAGATGGAAGGAAGCCGATCATGAGATGATAATGTACCCATACCAACCTACAGTGCCGGATTTATACTCTGGTACGCCGGGGGCTAACTTTTACGATGCCGCCGCGCCGCCGCCAAATATTAAATTTCAATTGTCAGATTCAAAATTCAAATAATTCTTTCACTGCTTTTTTACAGCATATAACAATAACATGAAATCATTATGTACAACGAATCAAATTATATTTACTCCACACGTTAAATGTAACAACAAACAACTTTTTTTTTTCAGATGAATACTAAAATACTTTTCTTGATTTTTTTGATGCAAAGTTGTCAATGGCATCATTAAAAATCCAGATTTAATAACATGTCACTGTTGATACTCAAAATTGATAAGCTATTCAATGTATCCTCTACCAGGGAATTCCTAAGGTAGTTTTTCAATCTTTTTAAAATTGATAATGACCTTTCACCACTAGCATTACTAATCATCAGGGATAGGAAAATTCTTAGAGCTACTTCCACGTTGCAAAAAGTATTTGTGAACTTGTATTTGTGCAAAAGCGCCATCAACGATCTTGCATCGAATATTTCATCACTTTTGTTTTCGGCGATAGAATTCAGGAAATATTTCAATTGAACACATTCATTGCCAAGTGACTCACGAGGTGACTCATCTACATCATTTTGGTATACATCAATCAAAACACGTGCTTTATCTACGATGACATCATCTGGCAGAGATGCAATTGAGAACAAAAATGGGAACGTAGAAGAGAAATCTTTGTAGGCTTCAGCACGAATATTTACTCCACCCACCGAATGGTCGACTGCTTCGAGGAATACCTGGGTTCGCATTCTGGTCTGTGGTGTCAATAAAGCTTCAGTGTCTGCTTCTTCAAGAGCCAGTTTCCTCTTACGGGTTCTGACCACCTTATAGTTAAGTTCTTTCGAAAAACAGTATCTCAACCTTTTGATGCGGTGCCGACTGCCCGGAGTAGCTAATTGCGCGTTTGCTTCAAAAGGCGACTAAAGAGGCGGCATATATAATAAGCAAGAAGCAATATCATATATTTTTCGCCTCTTCGGCGACGACTGTATTGCTGCTTGCTTTTGCGCCTTTTCCTCTTTTCTCTGTTTCTCTACCGCCTCTTGAAATTCACCGCCGAGGGCTGATAGTCCCATAGCCCCCCCTTGAATCCGGCACTGCCAACCTACCGAGTACCAAAAGATCTTCGAGAGTTCGTAAAATACTTGAAACATTCCATTCAGTAATAATAGGTAAAACTTCATCATTATCATGTCAAAACCAATTCTTAATTCAATATTCTTCAGTTTTTGAACAGGAAATGATTGAAAGAATGTACTAACATACTCGGTGTATGATGCTGTATAATTGAGAAGAAATGAAATTCTAGTAGGTCTGGTTATGATGTGATATATGTTAGAGTGATGGAAACCATCCATTCTCAGAGTGGTCCAGTATTTTTCAAAAGGATTATTTATGCCTCTCTATGTCTTTACTTTTGATGGCTTGCCTCGAATGGAGAAGAAGCTCTCTGAGTAGATTTTTATTAATTCTCGTTCAATTCACTTACCGATGTTGAACTTACTCCTAGTAAGTTCTTTTTCTATTTACAATCTGTTGTAGTTTCTCAGTTGACATATTGTTTTTATATAGATTTAAGATTCCAGTATTTCCACTATTCACAATGAAACAACCCTTGAACTTATATTGTTTGATTGCAAAATATGTATTGAATGCTTTTAATGTATTTGTTTGTCTTTCATTACCCAGCATAAAAATATTTAGTCATGCGTGGGTCACAAAATAGCGGAAATCTAATTTAAATCTGCCTTCCTGTTTATGCTCCATAATCAATTAAAAATTATATAAATTATCTAAGAACGTCTGTATGCGCTTACCGTTTTCATCGGTTTTATTTACGCTTGACAGAAGCATGAATCCTTATGAAAATTAACTTATTGCCGAGAGCGCTGGTTGTGTTCACCACTATGACCAACGATTGACAATGTGATAACAAAAGTTATAACTATTTTTGAGATTGGACATTATCTAATTTTAAACCAATGCTGAAAGTTTCCATAAAAAATCTCATAGGTGTACTTTTGCAGAATGATGTTTTCATTGATGATGATTGTATCGGTGTCTTCACCAAAATTGAGAATTGCCATTCTAAATCCTTAGAAGTAGCAGGCAAGTAATGAGGTATAGGAACCTTCTTTAAAATGATAGTAATAGGTATACATATATACAGTGTGTCCCACTTACCATGCTCACCATGGGTATCTTTTTAATGGTGAGAGATACGAGGTCGGTTAAATGACACCAAATGTGGAGTTTGTCAAGGCCAACTATAATGTGAAAAAATATTTTGATAAAATCTATTCGTTTTTGTTTTATACGCAAAAAACAGATTTTGATCATTTTCATGTCCCCTCTGTAACTTCTTTATTTATGAAAATATTCAAATAGGAATTTCACATTCTCATGGCAGTTTTTCAAAGTGATTTCGAAAAAAATATGAAATTTATACCAACTCTTCTAGAATTTGAGATATCAGCACCAACTTTAGTTTTTCAAATGTAGGTCATGGCTCACTATGACTTAGTTACGAATAACTTTTTTTTTTCTTACAGATGATATGTCGCAGTATTAGTTTTGTGTTGATAACAACGGAGTTATCGTCATTTATACAAGAACAAAAAATTGTTTGGAAGCCGACATCTTGAATTTATACATTTTAATAAAAAAATCATGATCTCCGACCTCAAAAATCCCCACTTACCAATTTTGATTGGAATCGGACCAAATCTTGTCTGCCATCTTGGAGCAGCCATTTTTTTTTTATTTCAACAAAAATTCCATAATGTATTGTCACCGAAATTATGAACACCTGCCAAATTTCAAGTTAATCGAAGTTATGTGAAACTTACCATGCGTAAGTGGGACACACTGTAGAAAACTGAGAACATTATTTGTAATATTTGAATTGTACTACTACTAGAGGTCCAGTTTTTATATTTATACTTTATACGAATACTTGATGAAATATTTATATTCAATTCTATTCTATTTTCGAAAAGTATATTCAAATATACCGGGTGACAGAGGGTATCGGGCCACCCCTGTAACTTCTGCATTCGTTAACGGATTTATCTGAAATTTCGTAGTTATATAAGCAACCATTTCGGATTCGATCACATTATTATTCAATATGGCGGAATTCCAGTTTTGCGGGAAATGCCAGCACGTTTGTTTGTTCAAATGGAATACCCTGTATATTTTTACATACTCAAGTTCAACAGATCAAAACAAGATCTTCATTTCGAATGTCATTATTTTCATGAACTAGTTGAGCTGTTTCCATCAATTTATCATACTTTTGGGGTCTAGCGGAAATGATTACAGAGATATAAGGTGTTCAAAATCGAGATTTTTCAACTTTAGGATTTTTTTTGTATCGAAACTATTCATATTATTGGTCAAAACGGCTTCCATGTCCCTATCTCAACTTTTGATTAACTATCTTGTGACATTAAATAATTGGAACAGATACAGGGTGATTAGAATTCTGAATCTTGAACCACCCTGTATTCTGTATTGTTCCAATTGAATGTCAGTCGATAGAAAATCAAAAGTCGAGATGGGACATGTGAGTCGTTTTGACTAATAATGTATATAGTTTATTAGACACAAAAAAATCGTAAAATTGAAAAATCTCGATTTTGAATACCCTATATCTCTGTAATCATACCCGCTAAAATCCGAGTATGATACATCGATGAAATCATCTCTTTAGGGAGGGATAATCTAAAAATGCAATGAAATACAGGGTGTCCCACTTGAAAGAATGAACAAGTACCCTGTCTGTAGATCGTTTGTTCCGAGCCCCCTGTACTTTTTTATGTAGCGGATAAAAAATTCCTCGAAAATCATTTCAGATGATTTTTCAAATTTTGAAATCGGTTCAAAAATAAGTGAGCTAGAGGGTATGACATTTATGGTGAAACACCCTGTATTCAGGAATAACTATGGTGTGCATGGGTTGGTAGTGGCCATACACCAACGAGACAAGAATATCGGTCAAGGGAAAATGACATATGTACAAAATGTTCGCTATGACATGACTTTTTTCATATGAATCTTTTCCCTCCGTATTTTTTGTCTCAAATATGAACGTTGAAAGTTACTAACATCAGAATATCTAATAAGGCTTGATCAGTGCCGGATATAGGGGGAGGGGGGGGCTATGGCACTATCAGCCCCCGGCGGTGAATTTCAAGAGGCGGTAGAGAAAAATAGAAAAGGCAAGCGTAATATGCGTGTTGCCGCCGAAACTGAAATTTAATAGTAGATTGTTTTATCAGGATCGAAAGTGAGCCGAGCAAAAGCAAAATTTTCGAGTCATACAAAGTCACTTTTGATCCGAATGAAACATGCTATTTTTTCTGTAACCGAAAGAATGAACTCAAATTTAAGCAAATTATAATAATAATAATAATAATATGAATACAACCACAGAGTGACATATTTGTGTATGGACCAGGTGCTCTAATAGCAAATACCACGCCAGTGCCAGGTATAGGAAAGAGACGTGGAAAATGTTAAGTTAGTGAGCATATCAACAATAATAATACCAATTATTTATTCTTCTTCATAGTCCACTGTGTTTGGCTCGATAATCGACTGAAGGTAAACAATATATCGTTGTTTGAGAGGAAAAACTATTGCTGGCCGTGATTATTCAAAAGAAGTTATCCATCCCGAGAATGACGAATTGAATACAGATCAAGCAAGTATATGAATCTTGAAGGTTCTCCTGATCGAAGCAAAAATACTCAACTATAATATGGTGTATTTATATTTCCAGCATGGGTATGAAATGCCAAATCTGCCGAAATCGGAAACAAACCCATATAACCAACCGTAACAATGTTGTTTATTCTTGATGAGCTCTAGTAAATCCTTTTCAGTTCCTAGGTGCTGAAGTTCAACTTCTACGAACTGAATGTGTTGCCTAGCAACATACCTATGTTTGTGTCAGTATTAGAAACGTCAATTCGAGAGCTAATTTTGGTATTATAATTGACGACTTTTGTGTCGGATTCAGAAAAAAAATATTTTGGCATTTATCTGAAAAAAATTATATTTTTCATCATTTGTTGTTTGGTTTAAGGTGTGAAGTGAATACAATTTGATTCGTTATACGTAATGAGTTCATGTTTTTTTCTGCAACCGACACAAAAGTCGTCCATTTTGATACCAAAATTAGCTCTTAAATTGACGTTTCTATTACTGACACAAAAATGGGTATGTTGCTAGGCAACATATTTAGTTCCTAGGAGCTAAAGTTGAATTTTAGTTCCTAGGAGCTAAAGTTGAACTTTAGCTCCTAGGAACTAAAAAGGATGTACTGGACGTCATCGAGAATGAACAACTTTGTGACGGTTGGTTATTTGGGTTGAGACGCATACCTGATTTGTTCCCGATTTCAGCAGATTTGGCATTTCATACCCATGCTGGAGATATAAATACACCTTATTATAATAGTTTGGTATTGGAATTATAAACATCTCAGTTAAGTATTTTTGTTTTGATCAGCGAAGCCTTCAAGATTCAAATACTTGCTTGATCTGTATTTCATCCGTTATTCTCGGGATGGATAACTTGTTTTTGAATTATCACGGCAAGCAATCGGTTTTTTGTCTCAAACAACGATGTTGTTTAGCTTCATTTGATTATCAAGTCAAACACAGTGTAGTATGGAGAGGAATAAATAATCACTATTATCATTGTCACTAACCTAACATTTTCCACGTCTTGTTCCTATAGCTGGCACTGGCGCGGTATTTGCCAATAGAGCACCTGGTCCATACACAAATATGTCACTCTGTGGTTGTATTTATATTGAAACTACAATTCGAACATCCTAGAAACCCTAACCTGCTGTTAATGCAGGTAGAATATTATCACTACATGGATTATTTGTCAATATTTGTTGCATTGCATACATATGGCACGGCATTGGTGGTTACTTCACATGTTCATTTGAGTTGATTGTTTCGGTTGCATAAAAAATAGCATGTTTCATTCGGATCAAAAGTGACTTTGTTCGACTCGCAAATTTTGCTTTCGCTCGGCTTCGCTGAACGCTCCGCCTCGCAAATGCAAAATTTGCTTGTCAAACAAAGTGTCACTTTTGATCCTAATAAAACAATCTACTATTATTATATGCTGTGAAATAAAAGCGGTGATCGAGTAAGTACTTTGTATTTTGAAACTGACAATCGAAATTTATTATTTGGCGGCGGCGCGGCGGCATCGTAATAGTTAGCCCCCGGCGTAAGTGAGTAAAAATCCGGCACTGGGCTTGATTATGGTGATGAAGAAAACATGGAAGAGGACCCCTTTTTGGACTCCCCGAAGTGGAAAGCAAACGAGCGAATGAATAATCGCACCGGAGCTTTCTGTGTTTCATTCTTTCTGCTGCTTGAACACGAACAGGTGCAATCAGCTAGACAAGAAATTGTTTCATTGCAAAGCAATCGTTACAAACACTGGCGTTGAGAGTGTTCTGTGGTCGGAAAAAATTGTCTATTTTGTGGTATAGTGATTACTTATAGTGATGAATTTCAATTGGTGATAGTTGTGTTCGTTTCCATAATATCAGTTCAGGTTTCTCCGTTTGTTATACAGGTGAATATTGAACAAAAAACTATTATCTTTTGAGAATAATGTTGCGCATCCACATCACATTTCAATGTCCAAAATTTGAATAGGTATCTACTCGTATCTACTTCTGGCTGTGCTATTCCATCAGAAAGTGATTCTTCTTGAATTTCATTATCTCAAAACTTTTTAGAGAACCATCTCAAAACTTCCAAGAGGACCATCTTGATTGGGGACCATTTTCGTAATTTGCTTATCTGGTATGTAATTTGTTTTCAATGATATGCTTCCTCCTTTTGCTTTATTTTCGGAAAAGACACATTATGTGAAATCAACGAAGGACTATGATGCAGGAATTTTTATCGTTCACGAAGTGTTATCTGTGAACATTTTTAATTTCAGATAAAGAAGTAGGTATTCGATTATAAGTTGATTGACTTTGAGTTCATGATTGGAACTTTCAAAAAACGAGCAAAGTTTTATTTGCGAAAACAGGTATAATGATCATGAATCCCTGAAATTTTGGGAACTTTTTATTTGGCCTCAGTGCGTCGGTATAGTATAAGAATTAACAGCCTTTCCCAAGATTGAGAGGGAATATTTCAAAAATTTGAATGAAAATTTCACAACAGGCATTTTTGATCAATTTAAAGCCTGTATTTCGTATCGTTACCATAGCAACTAAACAAATTTCTTGGAAATTTTTCCCCCTTCTCAGGGGACGGAGCATGAAATTACACCGAAAATATTTTGACGTTTATAGGTTGAATGACATTTACATTCAACTTCAGATTATTTTAAGTCCATTCTATAAGTCAATAAATAAAAACCATTTATCAACAGTTCACCATATAATATTATGTAGGTATACTTGCAGATTCGAAATTTACAAAAACACATGTTGTTACTATACGTTAGTTCTCACATTTCATCACAAACAACCACCAACATCATTACTATATCTCAAATCCTTTCGATAATCTTCAGTGCCATCATTTTGACATATAATCTATTTGTCGACCCAAAAGTATGTTGAAATAGGTAAGTATGAAGTTAAATTTCCTCAATTTTCCTCGAAGAATTCTATAGGATTTATCTTTCAACTCTTTGAAAATCTCGAAACATGCTTCATTCGCACGTTATACATTCGGTTAACAATAATTCAACAACTGCCGTATAGATCTCATATTCTCCCGTGTATTATACGCTACTTTTTTCTGTGACATTATATTAAAATCAGAAACTTATCGAAATTTGAAGTTTCCAACAGGAATTACACCTGCGTTGCAGGCATTAGGTCTATATGGTTACAGGCATCTTTTCGCAGGCATCTTTATTCTTTTGGAGTAATCAAATATCTGTCAGTATGATTCTGTGATTTCATTTAGATAATTTGCGAACTCAGCGGTTGTTTAGTAATTGAAGTAACCGCGAAATGGAATGGAAGATAAAAGTACTTGCACTTCTTCCTCGGAACTATAGCACTTCAAAAGCTCCAAAGCCATACACATCCGGAAAAAAGTACTCACTTTTTACCCGAGGGAAAAAAGTAATTTATGAAAAGTGACTTTTTATAACCTGTCAACAGAGATGAAATGAACTTTTTCCCGTCACAGAAAAAACGAAATTTGATCTATCACAAATGGCTGACACCTCCTGAAAGGAATGAGTTGTGATACCAGTCACCTTGTGACTTGTGAAGATGAAAAAATGGAATCTTCGAAATATTTTTCATCACACTTTTTCTTCAACCTTGCGAGTTTTGTGCCAACCATTTAACTGAAGAAATACACAAAAATGGAATTAAAAACAACATTTTGCCTCACTTCAAAATAATTGAGTATGATTGAAATTATTTTCCTTGTGTCCACTTGAACAACTAAAGGTCAAAATAGTACATATAGTGTTTCCAACGGTATATTTTGTTTCAGAGCGAGCCAAACAACCCGTATCAATATAGTGTGTGGCTCATAGCAGCTAATAAAAATAAAATAATGTGCTCCAGTTACCAAGGAAACCATAGTATCAAGTCAGCGTGGTAAGAACTTCCGTACATTTTTACGTTTTGAAATAGTTGGTACCGCTATAGACAATGGGATCATTCGCGAAAATGTTGATTTTTATCGCTTCTATTGCGAAATCATGTTGTCAGCCATGCTGAAAAGTGCATTTTTCATGTGGAGTTTTCTATAAAATTTGTATAAAATTGTTGATTCGAGAGTCAGTCAACTGTAGCATCAGTGCAGTATGGGTTGTTGTGTTGTTTTGTAACTATACGTTTGTTGATTATAATAAACAAACATGAGTTGCCACTAGTAATGTGAGTAGAAAGTATATAGGTAGTACAATCATATAATTAATTCGTTCCTCTATCCGCTAATTAAACTAATGTGACTACATCCAGGACATGATATTACTTACTTGCAAGAAGTTTATGGGAATCACTGAAATATACTATGGTCAATTCAATCTTTTTCCATCTCGAATAATTATAATTTTTTGTTGTACTCATAAAACTTAAAAATCCTTGTTTAAGAATTTGCTCCTCCGCCAATACATTTACAAAAACTAATAGATATGTACTGTAATGCACTTACTGCCTGTGTATACGATTTATCTGTCTCCGTTTTCGAAAATTATGAAAATATATGTACTCATAGAGAAGTCGAAGAGATGACCTATTCAGACGATCTGTTTCAAGAAGTTATTGCGTTCCAGAAGAGATGAGATGAACTAAAAAAAACATCCGAAAGATTGGTTTTACACGTAATCAAAATATACATATCTGTACAGGGTGTTTTGAATTTTTTTTAATTCTTTAAAACAAGAAGATAAACAATTTCACTAAAAATCGCCTACTTATGTTAAAGTTGTTGTTGATCGATCTCGTTACAACCCTGTTCACAAAAATAGTTTTGTAATCGCTCTGATGCACTTTGCTCAGACGCATCGTAAACCAAAAGCATATCAACAAGTCCATTATCACATTTTAACAAATGCATAGAAAAAAAGAAGTGAGAAAAATATCGCTATACGAAAATCGCTACACATCTACATACAAATGAACTGAACAATCGGAATCAGACTGAAGTTTCATCGATTGAAGTAAGATCGATCGATTATTATCCGTATAATGGTGGATTTATGAACTCAACTGAACTAAGGATTAATAATTAGATTAAGAATCCAAGACGCTGATTGGTTTATCAATTAGAATAGAGAAGTTACCTTGTAAAGGTTCCTAATTTAATTTTTTAATTCTTATAGTTCAGTATGGAGTTTATAAATTCACCATAACAATAATCAATTCAATTTTCAATTTTTTGTAATTTCCATTCAACATTTATATGGGCGATTTTCGGAGAGCTGTTTCATTTTAATGAGTTCTACATCATGTTGAATAAATGCATTTTCTATGGGATATACTAATAAAACCTTCAACTAATGAAAGATCTTTAGACATTTTGTCTAGTTTAATACTAGTTTCTATATGATATTATGTATACGATTGCAGTTACTATAAATACATACAGGGTTGAGCAAAAGTATGGAACCAGGTGAATATCTCGGTTACCGTTTGTTAGATTTTTTTGAATATATGTACAGGGTGATTTCGAAATGTGGTAGATTTGAAAATGTTATCGTCGATGTTGTGACTTTTTCAGTTATTCCGGAATTATTGATAACTTCCTTATTTCAAATAGAAGACCCAGTATTTTATAGAATTCTCATATTCTCCCTGAAAAGCTGATTTCATTGATCCATCACACTTGAGGTCTAGCAAGGATGATTACTGAGATATAGGGTGTTCAAAATCGAGATTTTTCAACTTTAGGATTTTTTTGTGTCGAAAGTATTCATTATTGGTCAAAACGGCTCACATGTCCCGACTTGAACTTTTGATTCACTATCTAACGACATTTAATTGAAACAAATACAGGGTGGTTGAAGATTCAGAAATCTGATCACCCTGTATCTGTTCCTATTGAATACCAATAGATAGTAGATCAAAAGTTGAGATAGGGACATGAGAGCCGTTTTGACCGATAATGAATAGTTTCGACACAACAAAATCCTAAAGTTGAAAAATCTCGATTTTGAACACCCTATATCTCAGAAATCATCCTTGCTAGACCCCAAGTGTTGAATCGATGAAATCAGCTTTTCAGGAAGAATCTGAAAATCCAAGAAAATACAGGATGTTCCATTTGAAATAAGGAAGTTGATAATAATTCCGAAATAAATGAAAAAGTGGCAACATCGACGATAAAATTTTCGAATTCACCACATTTTGAAATCACCCTGGTTCCATACTTTTGCCCAACTGTAAACCTACCTATAGATTGTTATTATATTGATAGATTTATTGTACTTATTGAACATTTGTTATGTTACAGATGTTTTCTGAACCATGGCCAGATATCCTTTCGCCTCCATTTACAAACCCATGGTATGGCTTCTCCTGTTGTACCTGCATAAATCGATAGCAAAAGGTGAGACAAATAAATCAACAAAATCAACTGAAATATGTTAATCGCATCGCGCATTCACTGAGGAGAAATAACTGTAGAGAAATTGCATTCATATGAAGACATCATGAATAAATAGTCATAATATATTAGAAAAATATCTCAGTTACTTTGATGATAACGATAGATCGTATATAAATGATTTGGAATATTCAATTTCTGGAACATTCATAACAATGTATGCAGACGACACGTCAGTTATAATTTCTGACAGATCAGATTCAGTTTTGAAAGAAAAATGTTTTTGAAAATATCAACAAATGGTTTTCTGCAAACAATTTGTTTTTGAACGCGAAAAAAACAGAGGTTCCATCATCGGCAACGGAGGTGTGATATCATAAGCTTTAGAGCTAGTGATAATTCTGACACTGTATCAACAGAGTGTGAGAGCATAAAATTTTTAGGTCTTCACATTGATGAACATTTAAATTGGTAGAATCCCTGTGATTTTCTGATCAAAAAAATAAACTCTACTTGATATCAGTTCAGGAATACAAGGCAGGTTTTAAATGATGATCAGCTGCTGAAGCTACTACGCTCAGGTGGATTCTAGACTGAGATATGGAGTGTGCTGCTGGGGTTTTTCCTCTAGCTGCTCAGATGTCTTCATACCACAAAAAAAAACTCATACGAATCATTAGTGGCATAGGTCTCTTTGATTCATGCAGATCAGCTTTCAGAAATTTTAAAATCTTAACTGTCCCTAGTCTTTTAATTTTTGACTTGTGTTTATCTGTGTTCGAGAATAGAAATAAATTGTTTGTACTGAATAAATGTAAACATAATATTGATACAAGACAAAAAAACAATGTTTTTGTACCATTTGTAAAAACCAAATTAGCTTTCGAATCTCCTGGCCAGATGGCTCCACGTGTTTATATAATTTGCTACCAGATTTTATAAAAGAATCCAAAACTGTTTCAATGTTTAAACGAACACTCAAGAATCATCTTATTGATAAGTGTTATTATAGTTTTGAAGAATTTTTATGTATAAGTATGTAGTTTTCGTTCTCTTTTTTTCAGGATTTTTTGAATCTCCGATCTGCTTTTCTCTTCTTGTTTTTTTGACGATTCCTATACAAATCTTGTAACTTTGTCTCAAAGGAAAATGAAGATTATTATTATTATTATTATTATTATCGTCAGTTTCAATCTGTGCTCTTCATTTTATTCGTTTTATTTCAAACAATATCTGAAATATTAATCTGAATTTATATATAATTATGGTTGTTGGTAATCATCATCTTCTCACATTTTTCATTTGGCCCAGACAGTTTTCTTTGTGAAATTTGGTATTCACGTTTATTGTTAAAAATAAGTCGTTATATTCTCATCCCCCGTGAAGAAGAGAGGAACTACGGTCTTGAACATTTCTTCCGGTCGGTTAGATCACTACACCTGTCTTGAAATCTTGGAGTGTATCGCAAGAGAATAAATAGGGTGATCCAAGTGATCCTCTTCACATCAACTTTGAATGAACAATGGAAATCATGAACAGACTATTAAGAAGTAAAATTTGAAGAAACTACCAGTGTTTACTGTATTTTTCAATTTCTTGGATTGGAGATACACCCTTTTCTCATAAAGTTATAGGACAACGATGCCATGCGTACCTTGGGCCCAGACTTTTTAATAACCTTAGCTCAGAACTCAGACAATCTACTACATCAAAAAGAAATTGAAACAATACATCATGAGTTTGCATCGAGTGCAAGTTCACAATCTAGTTGATATGAAAAATAGAGTGGAAAATGATCTCGAACTATAGAAAATAGATGTATATACAAATTAATACCTGGTAATGATGATTAGGTAAATAATAAAAAAATAACACAAAGGAACAACAAAAATCCCATGATTATTATTTCGATCCTGTATGTCAATGAGATGTTTCTTTTAGATTTGAAGGTATGTTTGTATTGAGTACTAAGTATATTACTTGTATGTTTAGATAAATTCTTTGAATATGTCTATAAAAATGAACTTTTTTCTCTACGGACAAGTTTTCTTTTGTACGGTTCTCGTTTATTTCATGTATATTATTCATGTATCAAGTAATCTGTACCCACTTCTGATGCTTTCATGAAATAAATTGATTGATTGATTGATTCTGCATAAAATTTTGGGAAACTCGTGATGCACTATGTATATCATTTTATGAGGTAAAGGGTAGGCCGCAGTACAATGAATATCAAAAATGGCAATGAGCCTGTATTTCTTCTTTCCTTGATTATATATTCAAATTCATAGAATTGTTTGAGCTTGTATTTATTTAACGTGCATGATGGGCATAGTTTTGTCTGAACATATCGGAAAATATACTCTGCTGGATGCAACTCACAACAAGGAAAAACTCTATAAGCATATCTTATCTTTGAAATAATGTTTGGGGTGTATTTTGATCAATTTTTTGCAGAACTATTATTTCCTGATACAATGGATACTTATAGATTCATATAGATACTTAATCAATTAGAAGGTATATCATTTTCACGATCTCTGGTCGTTGATATGTTCCTGTTAATCTGGTTAGAATAACTATACAATCATATAAATGAGAATTCGAAGTCATCAAATATCCCAATAACATATTGATAATGAATAAATTGGATACATTTCTGCAAAAGCTATAGTTGAGTCTAGTCCATTAACCTAATCCAAATTTTTGGTAAAGCGATTTTTAAGTAGGCATAGTACTATATACTTAATGCAAATTGTCTATATCCTATATCCCTTTTTATTAATTCACAAATAATGTTTCGTTTTTTTGGCTTTCACAATAATCGAGTGAAGTGAACATTCATTAATATCATGAATCGTTGATTGATTTCCATTTGATTTGTCTATTTCTCACTGATGTGTTAGTGAAATTGAGGAAATACTTAACTTATTGAAATAATTTTCAGTCTATTCAAGTGTGTAGCCTATAGTATGCCAACATACATCATAATTAATGCATATAATTCGGTGGAGAATCTACTATCTAGAGTGTGATTCCCAACCTTTTTCCAGTCATGACCCCTTTTGGATTTTTTTAAAATGTCGCGACCCCCCATTGAAAATATTGACATATCCTTATTTAATATAAAAAAAAACAATTTGATAACATTCATATTATTTATTTGGTATAATGTTAATGCGATGACTGAGCTTGCATCTGCATAACAAGTTTCAAAATTCTTGGTTGAGTGCGTGTCAAAGCCAGTCTTATGTCATCTTGAACATCCAGTTTATTTCTCGCCTTTGTTTTAATTTGCGAAAGAATTGAAAAACCACTTTCACAGAGATAGGTCGAAGCAAATGGTACTATAGTACCCGCAAAAAAAGCAGAGCGACATTAGGATATAAACAATATATGGCACACCAAAATTCAGTCAACGTTTTTTCCTGGAATAGGTGCTGTGGAATCATTTTTAAGATCTAAAAATTCATCTATCTGATCTATCTACTACTGCAGCTTCTTGGTCAGACAGCTCGGGAAAATAACGTTGAATTTCATTTTCAAGGGATTCAAGGTGATAATCAATTTCCCCTTTTAGATCCCCCGCAATTCCTGCCTCTGATACTTCAACCATTGCAAAGTTTTCAAGATTTACTTTACGTCGCCAGTTTCCAATCTTGGACACAAATGCTTTGAGATTATCTTTAAAATAGATGAGGTGCAAGTCCTTTCCCTGAAGTTTCAGATTCAACTTGTTCAACTGATCGAAGATGTCCGATGAATAAGCATAAGCCAAATGTAGAAACATTTACCTATACATATTGTAATGTTGTTGAAACTTGCACTGGTCGAAATTTTTGGGCCTAATGGTGACTCCCCCATATGTACATCGCGACCCCCAAGGGGGTCGCGACCCACCGGTTGGGAATCACTGACTAGACTCTAGAGGGTTATGGGTCCGCAGCCTCCATCCGAAAAATGAGAAACTGAAGAGGAAATATTTCCTGAAAAACCACTAAACTTGTTTTTCTGCTCTTCAATTTGACAGGCTCTAACATGATTGATTTGTTCATCCAGAAAATACCAACTCTCATGTACAGGGTGTAAATGCATAAGTGCGAAAAAAAGTCACAGAATTTCAGAATGATATAGTTATTGATTCTTCTCAATGGGTGTCTTAAGAGCTCCTATATTAGAATTTGAAGTTGAATTTAATTTTCATCAGTTTCCTCCAGAACTAATCGAGATTTGAACCCAGATAGCACAATATCATTTATATAGAACGCGTTCATATAGGATATTCTTCGAGAATATTTGAATATTCTCACAATATGATACAAATATTCTAGGGATGTTTTATGAACATTCGGAATGGACTGTTTCAGATATTCTGAGAATATTCCTAGTATATTGAAGCAGAAAAAGCTTGCTACGGTGGAGATGCGAACCTACTATCTTGTGATTGAATTCTTTCGAACCTGAAACCTTGACCACTTCGCCACGATTCTTATTGATGAATAAAATGAATAGCAAGATGATAACTACCCAACTTTTTGATTTGAATGCATATTCCAGTGATGAAACGACCTGGTATGGGTTACTAACGATCAATTAAAATATTTCTTTGTCCTCTTTTCTTTCGTATACCGTGTATCTAGTACTAGTATCTACATCATTATCGAAACCAGTAATTTGACAAAACGACAATCAGTTGACATCTGGGTCCCAAGTAGGATTAGCCCAGGCCCCCACAAACTCACGGTCCGTCCCTGGCTGTAGGTATATGTCTCCATGATACAGATTTGTAATACCCTCCATAGAGGAGTAATAAATACCCTACTATCAAACCATGTTATACTTATAGCCACACTTTATTCATTCTTATTTTTCGTTCTTTTTTCTGTTGATTCAAACATCCTGTGTACTTCAAAAATAATGTAATGATATCTCATTATGCGATCTACTTTCTCAAGCAATTGGAATCTTGTGGAGAATGAAGAAATACAAATAAACAATAAATAATTGAGGCATAATGCCTATGGCATTAACAGATGTTCAACAATGATCTGAGTTATCTACTTATCAGAACGAAACTGAAAATTACAGCTATTCACTTTTACCTATGTGAAAATGTAAATATTCTCTGAATTTGAATAAGAATGGGGGCGTAATTTATTTCAAAAAAATAATATTATATTTGGGAGAATGTATATTTTACTTATATGAAAAGTTGAAAATGGGGTTTGGAGTAATTTTTCATATGGTTTGTTTTCAAAAATTATATAGATTATCTATTATTATAATTTTAACATTTTATTAGTTGTTCTTTCTGTATGGTTGGTAGGTATCTTCTTATTCTTTTCGAAGTGATCTAAATAGTAAACTGTCAAATCGGCATTCATCGATATTCATATACTTCATTATGTATTCGTTCAATATATGAGTTTCTGAGAATTTCTTTGTAACCGAGGTCTTCCAAGTGAGCCGTTGTGTAGGTGTAGGTGCAGCTTACAAAAGAAAAAGTCACTAAATATGTGCTCTTACTACGAGGTACATGTACTATTTTTTCTAGAATCGCAATCAACATTTCATTTACTAGGTACTGTCTGAAATTTATATAGATACTCTACCAAAACTTGTTATATACAGGGTGTTTCGAAATTCGACCGACAACGTTTGACAGGTGATAGCCCTCGTGATTTCATAATCATTGAGATAGGAACATTCGGTCTTCAAGTGTTCAGTTCTCGAGATACAGGGCGTTGAAGTTGAGAAATGAAAATAGTTGTTTCGCAATATCTCAAGAATAATTGAATATAATGCATTCAACTTCGGTATATGGTTTCATCTTTGAATGGGCCATTTTTTGACCTGGAAGCCATTCCGGACATTTTGTCCAGTGGTGCCCTACAGGGGGTTGTGGCATTTTTTCCTTCCATATTTTCTACGCCACTGATTGAATTTCGATTATTTCCAATTCCTCGAATTCATTGTTCAATTTTGTTCAGAAAATGCATCACCTTCAACTGAGCTGAAATAAACAGTTTTCGAGATATTCGACCCAAAATAGAAGATTGCATAGTAATATTTCATCATTTTCAGTAGTAGAAAATTGCAAAAATATTTTTCTGGTGTTGAGTAGATTAGATACTATTCAGATCTCATGCTATAGCTGAACAGAAATAGTTATTCCACGCATAAAGAGAGAACAAAAATGTTCGTAATTTTCTAATACTGAGGAAGATGAAAAATTACTATGCAAACTTCTATTTTGGGTCAAATATCTCGATAACTGTTCATTTTAGCTTAGTTGAAGGTGATGCACTTTTTCAACATAATTGAACAATCAATTCGAGAAATTAGAAATAATTGAAATTTCATCAGTGGCGTAGAAAATATGTGCGGAAAAGTTATCACAACCCTCTGTAGCGCACCTCTGGATAAAATTCTTGGAATGTCTTTCTGGTCAAAAAATTAACCATTGGAAGATCAAACCATATACCGAATTTGAATGCATTTAATTCAATTTTTCATGAGATATCGAGAAAAAACTATTTTAATTTCTCAACTTCAACGCCCTATATCTCGAGAACTGAACACTTCAAGACCGTCTGTCCCTATCTCAGTGATTATGAAATCACGAGGGCTATCACCTGTCAAGCGTTGTCGGTCGAATTTCGAAACACCCTGTAGAACGGCAAAGCTTGAAATTCTTTTCCAATGGAAGTATTCCCAATAACTTATAACATCCAAAAGTTCATGAAAAATATCCAACACCTACCTCCTCTCCCTGTCCTCCCTAGGAACGCGCAATGTTTCACGAGCATTATAGGAATTTCCTTTCATACGCCCCAAGAGTAAAAAAAGTTGAGGACCGATTTTTCCATCGAAGAGAATGTTTCAGGTACTTCCGCATATTTCCAAGAACTCTGATGTATTGTGTAAAAATGAAGATTTCATCTTTGTGGACAATTCTCTTTGCTAAGCATAACAATAAACGTAAAACATAAACACAATATTCATGTGAGCAAAAATTATGCTATCCGAATATGGATACTAACAGGGAAGAGTTTTTATCTTCTACGTTCTTATTCACAAAGGTTAGTAAGCAAGCCATTGCAATATGTATTCTATGGCCTGGACTAGACACATCTACAACCAACATCACTCATACTTGGTTGGTTGCATATACAGTTTCATAGTGTAATGTATTATGTTTTCAATTTCCATTCTCCTCGAATTATTTTGTAGGTTATAGCAGGTAGGTGAATCTAATTTTCGGAATTATGAGATGCTGTCGAAGAGAGGAATTATGAATTCGTAGTATAAGTATAGTATGTAACGCGTTTATAAACTCTTCTAGACACTCGTTTATTAAATACTCTCGCTCCGCTCTGCTGCGCTCGTGCTTAAAATACTCGTTACTAAAAGGACGTTTTTAACAGTTTGTTACATAATGAATAAACTGTTTATTTTCATTGTTCCAGTATTTTACCTGACGAAACAACTGTGTTATAGAAACATGTCGTGTGATCAAGAATTTTGCGGAAATCTCATCGTTTGTGAAGATTTTTCATTATTTCATTCTTTCCTCAAAAATTATGTGAACACAGTTTGGGGAGGGGGGTTGAGGGGGTTCTCAATTTCATTGGCTGAAATGGGGTGTTTATATGAATAAAGAGTCTCATTTTGATCCCAACAATATATCTGTGAAATATTTTTATCGAATTTTGAATCACCCTGTATAGTAATCTAATTATCGCCTTCTATGTTTCACTAATCTTCTCCACCTTCCATCTAAGCACTCACCGACAACAGATGCTTCCTGGAGAACGGCGCTTCCTCCGAGAACTTCTTCGTGGCCGAGGACTTCCCCGTGGGGGCTATTGTGGGCCAGGTGCGCGTCCACGGCGACCCGCGGCCCGGGGGCTCCATAGCCCTGCGGCTGAAGGAGCAGGACGGGCCGGTGGCCATCGCGGCAGGCACCAAGAACCTCACCCTCAGAAGGTAAGCCAGGAGCGAGAATTCGAACGAGTAGGAGAGATGTGGATATGATGGCACCTTTCATATTATCATTAGTTTTTAGGATCTGAAATACCAATAAAGATGCAATTCACAAAACACATCAAGGTTATCATTGTTGATTTGTTGATATATACAGGGTGTTTAAAAAAAACTAACCCACTTGCTAGGGTAGGTAGACCATTGCAAAATAAGTTGGGTTCGCTCGGTAAAAAAATGTCGTAACGCCATCCGTTTTCCAGATACGAGGTGTTGAAAAAATGTTTTTCTTACACATTTTCTACGATTATGTTGAAACTACTGGCAACATTGTAATGAAATTTCTTATGGGTGTGATTTGAAAGCTGACACATCGCATGAAGTTGTTTTTATATCGGACACTCATAGAGGGCGCTAGTTACACGGTTCGTACCGAGTATTTTCAAACATAACTTTTTTGAGGTTGAATTTTTCACTTCAAATTCAATGTGAACTTGAACATCATTCAATTTTACACTAAAACGGTGCTCTTGGTAGAACTTGATACTGTGTACCGTTTTCGGGATATTTCGATTTGAAAATGCTGAAGTATAACACCGAAAGTAAGTATTATAAAAGACCATTTATTGATAACCACGTCAAGAGCTGCAAGAAAGAATTCAACATCACTTCGATGTTCGATGATCTCATAGCTGATCCTCAACCGTTGAGAAGATTGATGCATTCTTTAGAAAATAGGATAAAATTGTGTATTCGTGATGATGTTTTTAGTCAAATTTAATTGAATATTTTCTGATGTGATTTTGTTCAATAGATAACTTCAGCAGTAAAATGATGTTGATGTTTTTTGTCCTTGATAAATAGATAATTGTTTTTTATAATACTTATTATTCTAATACCAGAATCAGAGTTATTGCTTCAGCATTTTCAAATCGCAATATTTCGAAAACGGTACACAGTATCGAGTTTCACCAAGAGCATCATTTTGATGTAAAATTGAATGGTGTTCAAGTTCACATTGAATTTGGACTGAAAAATCTAATCTCAAAAAAGTTATGTTCAAAAGTACTCGGTACGAACCTTGTGACTAGCGCCCTCTATGCGTGTTAGATATAAAAACAAATTCATGCGGTGTGTCAGCTTTCAGAACACATCCATACAAAATTGCATCACAATATTGACAGTAGTTTCGACATAATCGTAAAAAATGTGTGAAAACAATATTTTTTCAACACCTTGTATCTTGAAAACGGATGCCGTTACGACATTTTCTCACTGAGCAAACCCAACTTATTTTGCAATGTTCTACCTACCCTAGCAAGGGGGTTAGTTTTTTTTTTAAATACCCTGTATAGGTACGTATTCATAATTTTATGAAAACACATGATTCGTCATTTATTGTATTTCAATTATTTTTTGTCGAGGGTGCCATCATAACAAACAATTTCAAATCATGGCACTTCATTAGAACATGAACAGATGAGGTAACATAAAGTGAATTCAATCATTCGATTTTTAATTACTTGTCAATTGATATTGGATAATATCATTGTTGCCCCCTTTTTTACATTTCCACGTGAGTACATAACCTAAGGTATAATTTTTTGTAACTATAAAAAACTTTTCTTTGTAGAAATTATATTAAAATGCTTCTGCTGATAATGGACTATTGATAGTCTGGAACATGTTCAGATACTGATATTTCTGATAATGAATCAGTGTGTCTTGTGTATGAATTTATTCACTCCACTTTGAGATACCATGGACTTTTACGATGGATTATGAATTCAGTTAGTTTGACAAATGGAATGTTTGGTTTTTTCACCCTTATCTGCACAAGCAGCATAGGCCCACAAACTAAATAGCTGACATTTGAGCCACAGCTCTTTGGATTTAGACCATCAGCTCAGCACAGTACAAGCATAATGCATTATCTCCATCATCTACATCTTTTTCATGGTTGATTTGTGTACATTCCTCATCTGATTCATCAATGGCTTCAAGCTTGCTCTTATAAAGCTGCTCTCGCCAATTTCTCTCACACGGGGCGGTGGAGTTTTCTCATTTTCCATTGTTACTAGAAATCAGAGCTGTCCATCTTCATCATTATTGAAGAATAAAAACATGATTTTATCTTAGGTCCTTGGACAAGGAGGGCGTCAGCGGCCCATCATCGGTCTTCGTGCACATAATCTGCGAGAGACTGGGCACTCCAGATCCCGGCTTCGTCATCCCCGTCAACGTCAGAGTGACCGACGTCAACGACAACGCACCGGTCTTCATAAACGCCCCGTACGTGTTGAACATCTCCGAGGTGAGTAATATACCAAGCTAGTTGGAAATCAATGAGTTTCGAAAATTACCAAATGATGAAAACAAACTCTCACGTTTGGGATAAAACAAAACAACAAAACTCGATTTCATTTATCCAAATGCATCAGCCAAACAACCAACAATCTCTCAACGAAACCTCAATACCTATAGCTTTTATGTAAGCGTTTTTGTATACCCGTTGATATCTTTCACTTTATTAGCGAATCCCATTGGGGAAACTGGCTCGCACTGATTGCATATTTTGTATTTCATTGTGGTAAAACTGGTGGCAGGTTTTGAATTCCATTGCAAAACTAATGCACATAGTTTAGAGCTCAGCGCAACAATTCTCGCACGAGCTCTAATAGGTCGTGCGAAGTCAGAGAAGTGAAAATGGCGGAATTTTTAGAATATGAAAAGTTTGAAAGGGTATTTGTTAGTGACAATCTTATCATCATCAACACGTAGCGATGAATAAATACCACACTGAAAATACTATACCTACTAGATGATTTGAAAAGACATTCGCTGTCACCCTTCGGTATTGATAAGGTGATTATCTCCGATTATCTCTCCATTTATTAGTTTAAATGCTATTTCATAAGTGTCATCAATATCTCACAACTTTTAAAAAGACGAAGTCGATATGAACTCAACAAGTTATAGAAATAACAATTCAACTTAACCGACCTAACCTGTAAGAATAATTTTAGCACCATATTATTTCGTATTTCATTGGGAATGCACCAGTTCAGATTTCCGAGAAAACCAACGTAATGCCAGTGCGAAACTGGTGCAAAACTAGTGCACCACCAGGTTTACAAATGGAATTCTCTAATTATCAGTTAATAAACACTCTAATGGAAAGGAAAATTGGTGAATACCAGAAATACCTAGTGTAATCCTCGTTGGCTATAGCTTACAGTACCAATCCAAATTAACACTTTATCAGCAATATTTGATTTCGGAAATCAAATCAGAAAAATCTATATCAATGCTTACGGCATGACTCTCTAGATGTATCCAATCAGATTCCTCGGCTTGCCGGCTTACTCGCTTGTCACCTATGCCATTAGAGTTTCTTGCTGGGATAGTTAGATTTCCAACTATGGTCAATAAATAATAATGAATAATAAATAATAAATAATTTCATTTCAAGGAATACTACAATATATAAAAGATTAAATGAAACAATCATCAACAAAAGAATATGATAGGTACTTGTGAGTACTTTCCGAGATTATTCGATTCGAAAGTTCATGAACTCTGTCACATCATATGGTTCGATGTTAACCAACAACTCAAAAATTGTTTTCTTGAATTTTGCTAATGATTCTATCGATTTTATGTCACTAGAGAGTTTGTTAGGTATAAAATTTAATACAAGAGTATAATATACTGGACTCAGTTAATCGCAATCTGTGTGCTGGATATGTGTAGAGTGTCTGGTATCATCATGTTCTGTCTGAGATTCCATTTTTGTAAATAATCGTTTATTTTTGAAAATGAATGATAGGAACTCTTGAATGAACATTGCATAGAAGGTGAATAGTTTATTGTTTCTGAATAAACCTCTGCATGAATCTCCAGGTTTCAAGTTCCAGAGAATTCTGAGAATTATCTTCTGGATTATGAAGATCGCGTTTGCGGCCCTGCTTCTTCCATAGAATATGATACCATACCGCATGATTGACTCTATGTTCGCTTGGTAAACCAAAGTGTATGGTACTTGACATATTTAGCAATAATTCTTATGCTATAACCAGACGAGTTCAATTTTCCACTGATATTATTGATGTGATTCATCCAACTCAATTAAGTATCATTGTGCATTCCTAAAAATTTCACATATTCTGACATGCTCACATTTTGATTATCAATTTCAATATGTGTTGGAATATCAGATCTGGGATGATTGGTTGTGAGAAACAAAAAATTAGTTTTGCTTTTATTCTGAATTTGTTTGTTCATTGTTAACCAATCATTTGTTTCTTTGAGAATATGATTAACATGTATTACCAAATCAGGAAACAGTTCACCACGAACCAATTGGTTTGTGTCATCTGCATAGTTGTTGAGACAATATTTGTTCTGATCAAGATTTTCTATCAGGTCGTTGATGTAAATTATAAAAAGTAGAGGGCCTATAATACTTGTGTTTCCTCAGTGAAAAAAATATGACTAATTAGGCAGGAAATCCTCGAGGAAATCAAATTCACTCCGGCGTATAGTTAGGGAGCCTTGATACGTTACAGGTGACAGTGGTGGGCACTAGGGTGCTACAGGGGGTTCACGCGATAGACAATGACCAGCAGGGCGTGTTTTCAAGCGTGAAGTACGCAGTTTTGCCGGGGCCGCACTCGGACTATTTCGAGTTCGAGAACGAGCTCGAGGGGACCCTGGTGTTGAAGAAGCCCCTGGACTATGAGAGCTTGAAGAGCTTCGACGTACATATAAGGGCGCAGGATCACGGGGAGCCTCCCAAGAAGACGGACACCGTTTTGACGGTGCATGTTATCGATGCTGATGACCAAAATCCGAAGTTTCTGGACGATAGGTTAGATGTTTTTCATTTCCTTCTTCTTTTTTGATCATTATTCGTTTTCTGACTAGCAACTAGCTAGGTGCCGAACTCGAGAACCACCACCAAATCGTCCAGTTTCATTGAAGAACCCTGTAGTTTATCTTTCAATATTTCTCATAAAGGAATGATTCAATCCTATACGACCTAAAGATTTTCCGAACATCTTGGATTTAATTCATTCCGGATTGTTCCATTCTTGAAGTGGTACAGGTATATCTCAAAAAGGGAGAGAAATAAACCTTAATCATCCCCTAAGCTCCGACGGACACTTCCATATAGAAAACCTGACTTCTAGTGATGCATTGCTGGAAATGCCATTCAATTACATATATTTTGATGCATTTGTTTTTCGAAATTCAAGCAATCGTCTAAAAAATTACGGTTATTTCAATGAAAGATATCTAGTTATTGGCCGTGAGTTATTCGTACTATTTCCTATATGGTGTTGTATTTCTTTCACATCATTTTTTTCCTGAACTGAAAAAACAGCATCATCAGTAAATAATCAACTCTTTCTTCAGCTATGAAGCGTGTGTACTATGGGGAAATAATTTCCTTGAGTGAATGTATTTGATCTGAAGAAGAAACATTCTTGAAAATGTCGTAATCAATCACATATATCCGTCAATAATTGGAAGACTGATGAAATTGACGTAACTTCGAAAAGCTTGCTCGAAGTAATTTACGCCAAAATATAGTTGATTGAATGGCTTCCTCAGCAAGGTATCATTTGAATAAACTTTCCATTTAAGTTTCGTATACAGGATTTCCAAATTGAGAGCTCGCAGCCATTGCCAACTTCGTTATTTTTGAAGAAATAAAATTACTAGAATTGCTAAACTATCGATATCTTTGGAAAAATAATAGATAAACAATGGATAGACGTTTTCATGTAAAAAAATTATATTTTTTCAATTATTTTTCATTCTTTCATCTCTGATTAGCAAACTTGTTGTACGTCCATGAATATCCAGAAAATCTGATGACCATCATCGGTTATAATTGTGCTTTCTGAATCTCATCCATTCGTTTTTAGGTACACATCCATTATTCCAGAACCACCGAAAAAAGGCTCGATCTTGTTGATCAAACCCCGAGAAATCGATAGCGTCGACCAAGACCTCGGTATCAATTCTCCAGTTTACTACACTTTTAACGAAGTGGGTCCGGAGTACACCTTCTTCAGGCTGAACAGGCTTACAGCCAAAATCAGCCTTGCCAAGGACCTAACAGAACATGATCTTCCACATCCTGTGACGTTAGTTATACGGGCGACTCAGCAGGATAATCCTGATAGATATGCCTTAGCAACCCTCACGGTAAGTTGATGGATTATCAACTCATACAAGAAGTATACCGATGTACTTTTCATGATTCTATATCTATACAAGCCACTGATGCGAAATGAAGTATATTCAACTCTCTATGAAATCACACCGTTATACTATATTTTTAGGTTTCAAGGGACCTAGCAAAGGGCATCCGATTCCTCCACAGTACCTTCTACATCAAAGCATCGGAATCTCTGCCCCCTGGTACTTTGATTGGTACTCTTTCTAACAATAGGCCAGGGGAACAGCTGAGGTACTTCGTGTCTGAACAAAACGTTCTGAAGACGTTCAGTCTCAATACCAAAGGGGAACTGTCGTTGAGGAAAAAGTTAGATTACGAAGAGAGATCAGAGTATTATTTCAAAGTTTTTGCTACAGACGGAGTCACGGTAAGCACTACGTACTTCAAAATACATACATACAAAACGAAATTGAAGATTTACGTTTTCGACGATATTTTGGAAGATGTTGATCTTTAAAGTTTGTCCCGAACTTTTGTAAATCGTTGATCAGAGGTTAATGTGTTGAACTTCAAAGTTGGTAGCTGAGTGATTTATCGTGTCATTCTATCTCTCATACAACACCATATTTTATTGATCGCTCCAATTGCGTAAACAACCTGTATGTATTATAAAGACACCTTGAATGAATTTGTGGAATCGTGGAAACTAATAAAAGATAGTACAGTTGATAGTTTCATCACCTATACATCATCATCTGAGAATAAAGTGGATCTATTGATGATGAATGTGTTTACCACTGGTAATATACAATTTTCATTGCAAATTTATTTTCATATGTAATATCACAATATTCGAGATAATTCTGTCGGCAATAAATTTTTCGATGACATTGAAATATTCAGAAAAATCAAACTTATATCCAGCTCTTGCTAGCACCTAACTATACAAATAGCATCATCTTTATGCTTCAGGTCCATAATAGTTTTCCCCAAATAATGATATATGTATTCTGTTTTCAATTTAACAAAAAAATATGTAGGTATATGGGGTGTTTCATGTATTGAAACGATAAGTGAGCATAGAAGACAAAAAAAAAACGGAATTGAAGATTTATTGTTTTCGTATGTTTTAGACGTAAAATATTTTGGAAGATGTTGAACTTTGAAGTTGTCCCTAACTTTTGTGAATCGTTGATCAGAGGTTATTTTGTTGAACTTCAGAGTTTGTAGCTGAGTGATTTATCAACACCGTATTTTATTAATCGCTCCAATTTCGTGAACACCCTGTATGTATTATACCTTTGATAAATTTGTGGAATTTCGGAAACTCATAAAAGTTGGTATAGTTGATAGTTTCATTACCAACATCATCATCTGAAAATAAACTGGATTTATATTGATGATGAATGTGTTTACAACTTGGAATATCCAATTTCCATTGCAAATTTATTTCCATTGCAATTAGTCCGATAACGTTCTCGATGACATTGAAATATTCAGAAAAAATTAACTCATTCAACCCTTGCTAGCATCTAACTATACAAATAGCATCATCTTCGCTCCAGCTTTATTATAGTTTTTCCCAAATGCTCTAATAGGTAGGTATTATTTTTTATTTTGAAACGAAATTGAATTGTTTTTCTCGTTCCTTGAAATTCGATTTCTTCTATCATCTGATTCATGATTCATTTGTAATTTTTTAGGTATGACCTACATTCTTCGAAAAGATTATTCGAATTAATCCTGAATTGAAATTTTAACCAAGTATCGAATTCTCTATATCACCTAATAGAAACTCAAGGATTATCATCAAACCTCATTAATCATCTTTTCATGCACTGATTCCAAGATGAAACAGGTGTTACATCAATTACTTAGTGATCGCAACTAAAGTATATCAATTAATCAACGTCTAATAACAAAAAGATCTTTTATCTCACAATTATTTCGCTTTGCTACAATTCTGAGTCAAGTAATTTAAATTCTATTTTTGATTTCCTATCGTATATTTCTATGGAGGATAATGAAAGTGATTATACTGATCAACAATATCAGCAGCTGTACCCATATTCAATTAATTGATTGACAGTGTATTACTTCTTTTTTTGATATTATAGAATGACTCCAGTGTGGTCAATATAACAGTTGAAGACGTTAACGAATGGGAACCGAGGTTTCGGTATCCAAATTACGAGTTTTTCATCGCTGGTCACCCTGAGGAGCTCTTGGGCAGAATAGAAGCTGCCGACGGCGACAAAAACGACAGACTGACGCTTTCTTTATCAGGAGCCAACGCATCCCTGTTCACCATATCGCAGAATGGCGAGCTCAGGTTGAGGTATCCCAAAGGTGAGATATCTTTTATCATCAGTGTGGTGTGCCTCAGGGGTCTATACTTGGACCAACGCTTTTTTTCCTCTTCATAAATGACTTGGCCAGATCTAACATATCAGAAAAAATAACGCTGTTCGCGGATGATACTAGTATTTTCTGGCATGATAAAAATGACGAAACACTTCCTGATATAGGAAATCAAAGAGGACATGTCTGAGGTTAAAAAATGGTGGGATTCAAATCAGTTGGTGATGAATTAGACAAAAACTAATATGATGTCATTTAAAGGTGAATCATATGGGTGGTGATGTTATATAGGAAACACCAATAATACAAAATTTCTAGGTATTCAAATAGATTTCAGATTGAAATTTGATGAGCATGTTTAAATTTTGAACAAGAAATTATCTCCTGGATGTTATGCGGTGGGAGTCACATCAAATGAACTAGGATTTTCTTCTTCTTAGGTTGTTTATCACTCTTTAGTTGAATCTCATTTGAGGCAAGGAATTCTATTTTTGGCGGTGTATAATGATTATCTCAGTAACCCAGTTTTTATATTGCAAAAACGCGCAGTAAAATATATGTGCAAAAAAAAAGAGAGGCCACACCTTAAAATTAATTATGTGTGATAATTCTTCTATACAACGCAAGGCATATGTCAGGTTCTTAGGTAGGAATGTACACATTAAGACTCCATTCTGACATGAAATGATCAGTAAATTTTTCAACAACAAACTGGATTAGTTTCATTAGGCATCATCACACTGAACTTCTGTCAATTATGCTGGGGACACTCAACTACTCAACTGGCTGGAGAACATATTTTTTCTACAAACGTCAAAAAATGACTAGGTTCGCGAATCGATAACAAACTGCGAAGTGACACTTTTTTTCAGTTTCCTACGTTACCATGATACCTTGCACATAACAATGCGCGAAGTAAAACAGTGCGCGAAGTACCTACTTCGCGCATTGTAATGTAAAATTAATGAGATATTTATATTTCAACTATATGTCCTCAATCGAGCAAAAATCCATGAAATAATTCATTTCTGAATGTTCAACAATAACTTTTGTATTATATCTCTTGAGCGCACGAAAGGAAATTCGTATTATGTTCGAGGTACATCGTGCGTACCTAGGGAGGATAGGGGGAGGCCTTCAAAGCCAGTTCAACACTATTTTTTATATCTAGCTAAGCATATTTTTACTTTGGACCTATATTTTCTGACGTTTGTAGAAAAAATTTTGTTTGCAACTCGACCGCGAAATACTTTGGTCATCTCGACTATTTTTTTAACTCGGCTACGCCTCGTTAAAAAAATCAGATCTCGATCACCAAAGTAGCATTTCGCGCTCTAGATACAAAAATAACTATATTCAATAGAGAAAAGTGAGATCCATATTATTATCATTTGCGATATATTTTATTAACAATTCTCAGTTCGGAATGAGAAGTACATCTTCCATAATGTGAGAAAGTCATATCGAAATTTTGAAATACTTTTCTCAAATTGTATACGAATTTACGAAATATACCTTCTTCGTCAATCGTCAGTTAGCCCTTTGGACTGATATTTATAATGTAGATTTAATTTTTATGCTTTCTCCTCCTCACGTGAGGCACTGATGATGACTGAACCACCACTAATATTTTTCCAGGGTTTCAAGGTGTGGCGAATTTCGCTGTGATAGCTACTGATAGTGGAATACCCCCAAAAACTGCGACGGTTCCAGTATCTGTGCACTATTCAGATACAGGAGATCAGTCCGGAATTGTTTCGAGCAGAAAAAATGGTGGAGGACCTCTTCTACTGGCCGGACTCGGTGCAATATTACTCATTTTAGTATTCGTTGTTATCTTATTGGTAGCATATATTTGTAAAGTGTAAGTACCTTATTTATACATTTGAATTTTTTACATTTGGTTGATTTTTTGTTATAAGTGAAAAATGTGTATAAAACGCCAAATTTCTATCAATATGTGGATCTAGCTCAATTTTCCTCGGTCCAAAAGTTGATAGTTTTAAAAGTACAGGTTTTCAGAATTGCTTTTTTATTATTTTTCTGCAGAAATTTATCATAATTTATACGATAGCGAGTAAGTTTTGATTTTAAAAAATAATTTGGTATGCCAATATTCAATTTAATTATAATGCCTACCAAAATGGAAAGAAATAATATATCAGAAGATGTATGTTGCGGACCTATGCCCATGTAAACTGTTTATCTTACAATCATCAAAGAATTATCATCATCAAGTATTAATAATGAATACTGTATTGAGCTATTTTCATATTTTTGCCCCCGGAATAGGAAAGCAGATAATCAAAGTTTGGGTGGTGAACGTCTTGTTTGGAGTTATCTCGATTTATGAAAAGCAAAATTTCTCATATGTGATACCACAAGTGCTACTATTTTGCCGGAAATATTCGGCGATTGTTACGATAGCTTGTTGCCTAATAATTTCGCCGAATATGACATGGTTTATCAAAACTTTCGATCCGTAGGCGAGAAGTTTTGGAACAATGTCATGATAGCGAGATCAGAAAGCTGGAGTATGTCAATTGATGAATATTTCCAGGAAAAATAGTATCACGAGTTGTAAACATATGAGTATTCCATGATTGAGACAATAAACGAGCGGCTTGCACGAGTTGCGCACACTGCATTCAATATTCTGGCTTCCAACATAATTGACGTTTTAGACGTCCTAATTTTGATCGCTGAAAAACGAGGAAGGTTGGTCAATTCGGCTTCTGTATTGGTAGAGCAAGTCCGATAAAAGTTTATTAAACAAAAAAATGTCACTAGAGATGTTCTGTAAACGCATCTGAGAGCAGAGTGAGAGGAAGATCCCAGTCATGTGACCTCTGGAGCAAATAGATAAATAATATAAAAGAACACTCCTGGGGAGTCTATTAGTCTTATACTGCAATGCCAATTAAAACTGTGATTTCTTACCGATTTGGATCAAAATGTTTCAATTTTCTATTATGGACACGCCTTTTTCTGTGTAAACTATACTAGCTTCATTCATATTTGGATTTAATATATGAGTAGTTTATCTGAGACTTAAACAAACTGTGCTGCTTCTACTAAACAAATTAATCCAATTCAAACTCAAACCAAACCAGAAACCAGTGCTAAATCTCTCAACTCCAATAATAACTGACCTACAGTCTTCAGTCATTCAACAAAAAGATTTCAAAGATGAAATATATCTATATTCCTCTGAATTAATAATCCGAGCAAAACGATTTCATTTTTTTTTCTGGCTGTCAAATTACAGAACGCTCCAAATAAATTGTGTCTTGCTCTAAATGACATTGAAAAACGGCTCCGGAGGTAAACAAGCAAATAAATGTGATTGCAGAACATAATATTATATACTATAACATAGAAGAAATAGTGAAAATGGCCGATTCTGATTTATTCTAGAGACCAAGAGTGGAATAGTCAATAAATAAATATATATAAGAAAATGTTCCCACAATTTTTTTTTCTGAAACTGATGAATTCCATCAGTATAAAATATGTATTCTACTATAATTTATACAGTGTGAGATGTATTTTTCAGGAAAAGAAAGCCTGGGTCAGCGGCGTCAACCCTTCAATCTGCGAAGCACGACAAAAGTCCCAAAAAGATTCCCAACCCCATGTTCGGCGACCGTACTCGCTCCCCGACAGCCACGGCGATCGGCGGCATCCCCAGTGAACTGAAATCGAAAATTCCCAGCCCCAAAGTGCACCCTGCACCCCAACCCCCGCCAGTGTGGCCGTCGTCGGACGGTTCCACCAGAGTGAAAAAACTCAGCTGGGTCGACGATAAAGTTAGTTGCTTTCCAAGTATTTAGACCTCATTTCACCCATAGTAAAAAGAGATTTTTTTACAGTCAAGTATGCATTCAAATTATAGTTATTGGTATTGGTAGGTTGGCTGTGAGCTGCGACCTAATTAGATCTATTGTGCCCCTTCTGCTTCTGCTATATCAAGGATTTCTTGTTCATAGCAGCCCCTCAAGATTCAATTCCTTCAGGAATTTGGGGATTTTGAGGGGATCTAGTTGGGGTATTTCTTCCACAGTCAGCTGATGGTGTGACAGCGTCACACTATCTATCAGTATGTGATGGGGTGTTTCTGGTTCTTCCTCACTGAATCTGCAGGTGCCGTCCTCCTGTATGCCTAGCTTCCTTATAGGTGTTCTTCTTCTTGGAGTCTGAATATGCCCCGTTAAAAATCCCGTTATTGCTTTGAGACTTTTTTTGCTGAGGTGAATGGGTGGACAAGGCACTAGGAGAATACTGGAGGAATATCACAGGTTGCAGGCAGGCCAAGGAATTCATGGCCGGTCCAAGCAAATCAAGGAAGGAGTGGCTGCTTGGCAGAGACCGCCAAGTACTCCGCCTCCTCATAGGAGTACTCACAGTACACAACAGGCTAGGCAGACACCTATCACTCATGGCGTTGATCTCATGGGAATAGAGGACAACCCCACTTGCCGCAGATGCGGGGAAGACGAGTTAACGTCACTCCATTTCCTCGGCGAGAGCGAGGCGAGACGTACGGAAGGCTGAGATTTGAAATCTTTGGAGTAGACAAACTCCAACAGGAGAAGTTGATAATATTAGAGTGGACGGAGATACTGGCCTTCATCAGAAGGTCAGGAAGATTCGTTAAGGACATCTTGGTGAAGGAAGCGTAGACATGTGGAGAGCAGTGGTTAGCAAAAAGGGCCCATCGGGGCCTACTTGCTTGGCTACAGCCTCTCCACCTACTACTACTACTAAAATTTTCTGAGGTTTATTATTAGTGTCTTAGATCTTTCTCGGTTGAAATTTCCGAGATCTTTAGCCTGCCGCAATTATAGTTGTAGCAATATAAAATATTGATGAATGAGGAAGCTTCCAATATTGAGGTTTCTATCTCACTGTGAAGTTTGTAAAAATTTAAAATAACAGTATTTTCACAAAAAAATAAATGAAAGAGGAACTCAGCTCCTTCACCATTACTATGACGTACTTTCTGAAAGGCCACATTCACACAGAGTTGAAATACGATTCCCTGTGTGAATACGACCTTGCAGACATCATCATTATGTCTAGATTTTCGGAAATTGTTCTTTGAATACATTATCACTGTATCATAACAGCAATGGGATATAAAAGGTTTTTTGATCCTTCTTCGTAGAGTATTATAAATAATTTTCATAAATCTCTCATTTGCTTCACGAAAACTCGGATTCTTGTTCCGTGCGAAAATCTACTTTACACCCCAACAGCTTCTCATGATCTACAAAGCACAGATACGGTCGGTTTTAGAATACTGTTCTCATGTATGGGGTTCAGCACCCAAACATACGCTGATGCTCCTCGATTCAATCCAGAGAAGAACCATTCGCCTGGTGGGTGATGCCACACTCACTAAATCTTTGACCTCATTAGAACACCTTAGAAAAGTCGGCGACCTTTTACTTTTCTATAGAGTATCGATACTCTTCACTGTTCATGTGGTAAAATCTTTCTATTCAAATTTTTCTCCTAATCATCCAATAAATAGATGTCGCCTGCATCCAAATTCTAGTTCTACTCATTTTTGCGTGTTTATCAGTCCGGTACCCACGAGAGTTTTTTTTGGTTGAGCATTTTTGTTGGTGTGGAAGAAATTGCGAGAAAGAGTTTGACCGTCATGTCAATCTTTGCGTAAACCGATGCTGTTTTCTTAGTTCGAAATAGCGTATATGAGTGATCAAGAAGCTAACCTTTTGGTTTTGACTATATATATTAGTATCCTAAGATTATTAGTTCCAGGTCCTTTTTAGATGAAAATATAATTCAAAATATCGGAAGCAATCACTGATTGTTCCTCTCTTAGTTTTGACACCCTACACCTGAGATTTTATTACGTAACCGGCGACTTTGCAACAGTACGGACGATATGTTCCACGAACATTATAGGAATCTCTTTTCGTGCGTCCCAAGAGATAAAAAAAATGAATATGAATTATAATTTGCAATAGTATCAATGTATTCAAGTTTCACCATCCTCTACATTGCAGAAGATATAAAATATCTCCCTCGGTGGGTTTAGATATTTCAAGCCTGTGCATTTTAGTCTTCTTATAAATATCAAAAAATAACATGATCTTCAGCACATATAGTGAAATCTCCATTGATGAATAAATTCAAGAGAATTAAACTCGATCACATTTATGGGCAACTCACAAAATTGTACGAGTGGAGCAATAAGTAATGAAAGTCCGAGGTGAAAGGTCACGAAAAGATAACGTCTTCATTTCAAAGCATGTCCAGAAGAACTTTACTCTTCAGCTCATATAGGTATATATTATTATATTCTTCAAAGTTATGCACAAATCTATCATTCATAGTTCGGGAATTAATCAATTAATACAGCTCTGTCATAACTGACAGATCCCGTTTTAAAGTGAAAAACTCAATAAATGAAGAAATTAGGAAAAATCAAACTCAAATCAGGCAAAACTAAAAATAAAGAGGCATCGAACCAAGTGCCCAAAGATAACATTCCAAATGGGACTGAAGAGAGTAAGCTATTGACCGGAAGATTGGTTGAAGTAAAACTCGGAAAACCAGTGTATGACGTAACTTTCAAGACCATCAAACTGTTGACCATGCTAAGTTTAATCTTCATATTCTGCAGCATAATATTTTCCTTGAAGCTGTTTTCTTCTTCAGTCAGTATCAAGAATCACCTAGGATCATTCATCAACATGATCTCAAGTGGGGATGGTGAAAAACTTCCTCTTCTTCAATCTCTCCCAGTGTTGTTCTTCTTGATCCTGGACGTAATATTAGCTTTCTTTCTCTTCAAACTGTTCGACAGGAACAGAAAGTCCAAGTTCAATTATCTCCTGTACATCTTCATCATGATAGCAGTGGGTTTGGTTTTCGTCACTCTGGTTCTGATTATCGTCGTTCTCAATCACGTTTACGGGTCACATGCGAATTTACACGACGGAATTGTAGAAGCGATGAGTAATTACTCGACCAATTCCTTGTTCAAAAGGAGGATCGACCGATTGCAGATCGAGTTCCAGTGCTGCGGAAGCAAAAAGTACGACGAATGGTACAACATAACATGGTACGACACCAGTTTATCGAAGAAGAAAGGGGCTAAAGATAGTGCCCAAGGAAATGCTCCGTTCAGCTGCTGCTCTATTACTTCGCTCTTTCCGTGCATTCACCATAATATCGAAAGTACAGGAAAGGCGTACCTCTACACCCCCGAACAAAATCTCAGTATTTCAACCAGTGGTTGTTACGATAAGCTCAAGAAGAGGACTGAAGAAGTCGGATGGGGAATTGTTGGGAATTTGATGTTGTATATCTTGTTGCAGTGTGGACTGATCGTTTGTTTGAGATTTTTGCAAACAGCACACTTTGCCAAATTTATGTTCGATGGACATAGTAGGCTGTACACTGTGTGGCTTTTTGGATGTGGGTCGGTTGTCAAAAATGTGCAAACTGAGACTCCTATGCTGCCCCCTGTTCCAGAAGATTTGATGACATTTTGATATTCATACTTCGTAATTTAATCATTTACAATTATAAGTAACTTCACTAATAGTCACATTTTCTATTGTTTCAGACTGACACCGAAAGCACAGAAAACCTGAATAATACTGATGGTACGCCAAAGCTACTCAGTAATACTAATTTAACAGTATATTTTTAATTTTTTATATTTGTAGAAACTCTTGATATTCATAAAGTTATGTATGTTGAGGAGATATTCGTTTCAGTTTTCTCCCCAAATTCCAAAATCAGAGACACACGGGACATGTTACATGTTTTGAGTGACACTGTATACTCATAACCCAGGAGCGGGCATATACCATATTATAATGAGTTCTTTAAGCGAGGTATTTCATACCACATTTCTAAGATCATGAATTATACAGTAGGCCATCAGTGGGTACTCTCTATCCAAAAATATTATGCATCTGTTTTCTACTAAGTTATCATCATCTAATTCATCCCTTTCACTTCCACACTCAAAATGCAATGAATGCGGTATTTAATTCAATAGGACTAACGTGGGAAGATATTTTCTCTACAAACGTCAAAAAATGACAATTTTCGAATATTTTTTCTCGATCACCAAAGTAGCTTTTTGCACACTAGATACAAAATTAACTAATATTCTACTTTGGAATGTAAATAAATGGTAAGTACCCAATGAAGAATACAATTTTACAAAAATTACTTATGATCTACATTAACCGGAACTTTTTTGTCAAAATTGAGTCTTCTGTCGATGGTAAAACGATGCTATTCGAACATAGGACACCTTTGAGTAGTTGAATTAATATAGTCGATAATAATATGAAGGAATCCTTGTGACATAGTGGAAATACCCAATACAATTTATATGTTGATAGTTATTTCTGTAGGTATATATTAAAACCCGTATATTCCATATACAAGCGACTCATTGATTACATAATACTACTAAACCATCAGGATTGATAATTAACGTACCTCTCTAATCATATCACAATTCTGGCAAAATGAATCACTCATTTCGACATTGATTCATATACAGGGTGTTCCTTAAAGACATATGCTAATATTCGATGATGATTCTTTGCCTCATTTTAAGAAGAGAACTTTATATGAACGTATGTCCTAAAAATCTTAACTTTTTAGATACAGGGTGATGAAGTTTTGAAAAATATTCAGTTCTTTGATAATAACTGAGACAATATTGTATACATCTTCATAAAATTTGGTACTCGTCTTTCATGCATCAAGGTGCATTTTCTGATGTACAAAAATTTTCATTTTCTCTACTCTCTAAGATAATTGTCTATATTTTACTTAAAAGTGAGCAACGACAAAAATTTTCAAATTTTATACAATGTCATAAAGGCTATTTAATTATGTACAAAAAAGATCATCCTATTGATACTCGATAGAAGGCTTCGAAAACTGAAAAACAAGACCAGGCTTCAAATTTTGATGTCTGAGTACTCCATTTCAGGACATCCATTACTGGATAACCACAGTATGTAACATTTTGAAATTTGTATACCGATTGAGTCACATAGCAGACTGAATTTTTCCATCACGAAAAGCTATACAGGGTGGAAAAAAAATAATCTATACATATTTTCAACATTGATGACACCCTGTATCTCAAGAGTTAGAACGTTTACGACATACGTTCATATGAAGTTTTATTCTTGAAATGGGTCGAAGAATCGGCCCCTTGAACATTAGCATATCATTAAGGAACACCCTGTATATCTATTTCCCTTGTTACATACAAATGGTTTTTGACTTTGAGATATTTTTTTTATTGTGAAAAGTATCGCATTGTCGATGTAGTTAATTAACTTTGTAGGGTATGCTGGTGGTATGTACAGTTGTATTCAAAAAAATAGCGTACAAGTATCAGAGAGAGAAGCTAACGTCATTCTATTTGCGTAAAACGGGCTATCGATAATGATTTTTCACCATATGTTGACATTTGTCATAGGTTGTCAAAACTACAAAGCATTGGCTGAGCCAGTAGTACACAACTATAGAACTAGGATGACGTTGACCTCTCTTTTTAATACATGTACGCCTTTTTATTGAATACAACTGTACCTACCGCCTATAGAATATTATGAAATTATAAGGACTGTGTCTAGGTCGTATACCCAGTGAGTCACGTTGGTATTGGCGCCATATAGTTTTTCATTTTAGAGTCATACCTACTTGCCTATAAATATTAAAATATAATTGCCAGTTTGATCTGGCAATTAGCCATAATTGCCAGTTTGAACTGGCATTTAGCTATAATTGCCAGTTTGAACTGGCATTTAGCGCTTCCGTACGAAAGGATCTAGTCATGTTATCGCCATCTAGTGAAAAGGCGAGTGGACTGAGGACGGAATGATAGTGATTCTCCCCGAGAATGAAATTTTCAGAGACATACATTTGCGGGGTATACTTTCGTACGAAAGCACTAAATGCCAGTTCAAACTGGCAATTATGGCTAAATGCCAGTTCAAACTGGCAATTATGGCTAATTGCCAGTTCAAACTGGCAATTATAGCTAAATGACAGTTCAAACTGGCAATTATGGCTAAATACCAGTTTAAACTGGCAATTATGGCTAATTGCCAGTTCAAACTGGCAATTATAGCTAATTGCCAGATCAAACTGGAAATTATATGGCTAAATGCCAGTTTAAACTGGCAAATATGGCTAATTGCCAGTTCAAACTGGCAATTATAGCTAATTGCCAGATCAAACTGGCAATTATGGGTAAATGCCAGTTTAAACTGGCAATTATGGCTAATTGCCAGTTCAAACTGGCAATTATAGCTAAATGACAGTTCAAACTGGCAATTATGGCTAAATACCAGTTTAAACTGGCAATTATGGCTAATTGCCAGTTCAAACTGGCAATTATAGCTAATTTCCAGATCAAACTGGCAATTATATGGCTAAATGCCAGTTTAAACTGGCAAATATGGCTAATTGCCAGTTCAAACTGGCAATTATAGCTAATTGCCAGATCAAACTGGCAATTATGGGTAAATGCCAGTTTAAACTGGCAAATATGGCTAATTGCCAGTTCAAACTGGCAATTATAGCTAAATGCCAGTTCAAACTGGCAATTATAAAAAAAAAGTATCATGTCCGTTCAGCGCTTTCGTACTTTCGTACATTCGTAACATATTATGCCTTCTGCTTTCAAAACTATACTCGCATTCATGAAAGCTCGACTCATGAACGTCAGAGCAATAAAAAAGGAAATGCGAAGACGAAATGATATGGTAATCAAAGATGCTCATTGAGATATGCACTTGAGAATATTAATCCGTATTTCAAACTATTTTCCATTCACCGAAAAAACAAATATTTCCTCTTTACAATATATTGGTATAGATATCGTAGCATTTCGTAGTCACCGTTGAAATATTTTTTGAATTTGCCGCTTGTCACTCATATGGAAATTCAACACGTTCGGTAGCTTTTATGCCTATAGAAATATCATATAAGCCGAGAGCGGCTAATGGAAAAACTATTTCAACGTCCACTCAAATGATCTATACATTTTATAGAACCCCTGTATGCAGGGTGTAGCTAAATAACTCCGAATAAATTCAAGGGAGGATTCCTTGTGATATTCTAAAGTTCTAAATAAAGTTCATATAAACATGTACCTAACTTGCTCTGGTTTTGAGATACAGGATGTTGAAGTTGGAAGCACTGAATAAGCTTTCATGGTGCCAAAATTCAGTATGGTTGGAGACTGAGAAAGCCCTAAAATTTCAAAATGATTGTAATTGGTTACTGAGTAATCTCAATGGAAGTCTTAAAAACACCTACATTAAAATTTGGAGTCATATCGAATTTTTATTGTTTCCTCAAAGCTAAGCTAGATACTAAAATCACACAAAGGATGAGAAACTTGTTATCTCAATAGTTCAATATAATAAATATATGAAACTCAGAGAAATCACCATAAACATCGATAAATTTACCAACTATATGTGACGCCACTGGAAATATTATTTCGAATCGAAATGCACCAGAAGAAGCTCCATATTACTATTAACAAAACCACAACGTTTTATTGAAATTGATGAAAAGACAATCGAGTAATGGATAAAAAAACGATTTCTCATGGAAATATTAATACTCTGTATCTCGAAAACGAAGCAAGTTAGGACACATAGTCATATATGAACTTTATTTCCTAAAATATCACAAGGAATCGCCTCTAGAATTTTTTCGGTGTCATTCAGATATACAGGGTGTTTCATAATTGAATGCTGATTCTAAAGGGCGATGATCCTTGGATGATTTTAAGGAGAGAAGTTCATGTCAACATATGTCCTGAACCTCTTAGTTTTTGAGCTACAGGGTGTTGATATCAGAAGCGTACAGCGTTTTTTTTAACTGAACATTCAATATCAGGTCTACGAGGACATCACTGGTAAAAGTAAAAGTTTGATTTTCGTCCCAAAACAAAATGTGTTTCCACTTATAGTGGGTGTCTACTGAATTACCAAAAACAATATCCAAGAATTGAAAGAACAAAATTCTTTGGTTTTTATTTTTTTACGCGAAAACGGTACGTTGTATGAAAGTAAGTCTTGAAACCAAATTTGCTCCAAAATGAATAAGAATTGAAAAAAAAATCTGTGTCCCAGAAAAATCAGTGGCGTACTATTTTTTTCTTCAAAAATTGTCAGTTCAAACCCCGTACGTACGCCACTGGTGAGAATTTTCAAATATCTTTCACGTAAAAGTATGCTCCTTCATAATGAAAAGGTGTATACAAAATATCATAACAATATCTAAGAGTGATAAAAAATTATGATGAAAAACTCATTTTTTTCTTGAAATTTCATCACCCTGTAGCTCAATAACTAAGAGGTTTAGGACATATGTTGATATGAACTTTTCTCTTTGAAATCATCCAAGGATTATCGCTCTCAAGGATCAGCATTCAATTATGAAACACCCTGTATAGCTGAATCATCGATGAAGGGAGGATTATTCAGCAGGCATGAAATTAGAGTTACCACAAAAATCATCAGCATTCAGCCGCCAACAAGTGCACAAATTCTCAATCTTCCCCGGTATACGGATGTACAAAAGAGAGAGCGAGTCCTACCTAGGTGTACCTGCCTAATTTATATTTTATCAAGTTCTTCACTTTCTTCATTCATGAGTCAGCTCCAGCGACATCGATTTCATCTAACTAAGAATTGTGCGATGAAAGTTATGATCGCTCTCGTTTGCATTTGCTTATTTTTTTCGATTGGTAACGCGGAACGCGCTCAGAAAATTGAAAAAATTTGGAACGATAATGAAGGGGTATGGTGGCCGATTCTCGAAGACTGGGCAGTTAGTGGAAATAATAGGTGAGTTTTTTGCCGGTAGAAATGATCAAAACGAATCAGATTTCGAAAAAAGTATAAAAAACAGGGTGGTCCATTTGAAAAAATAAATTCGTGGTTTGTCTCACTTTTAGGGATCACCCAGTAAAACTGTTGAGAAGGGTCTCGAAAAGCCCTCATTACGGCATCCAACTTCTGTGTATTGTTTTTCATTTTCTCGGTGGAAAATATCTTCAATATATACTCACTTTAGACGCCCCCTCCCTCTGTATCTCAGCTATTATAGTAGTGCGATTCGAACCAAGTTTGGACCAATCGTATGAATAACCATCAATATGGTCAGTTTTTTAAAGACGAACATCATTGTGGACAGTGCCGTGCGTTTTTATTGAAATAAACATTGGTCGATTTTTCATGAAATCATATTAGGATTTTTTTGCAGGAAAACCAATTTCATATTATTGTTCTCCATGCTTTCGAATCTCCATGTACACAAAATCCTTTCATTCCCTTCTCAACAGAATTGGCTTAATTTTCTTCATTTTCTGCCTCGAAAAAATAGTTAATGCAAATTTTGGCACGTTCAGCTCCGGTAAGTAGAAAATTATGGTTTGGAAGGAAAAACAGGATATACTTTTTCTGTTGTTTATTCTTTCGGAAATAAATTTCATTAAAGAACTCAATATCATAAAACAGATTGCAGTCAACAACGGATACAACGTTAATTTGATAGACAGTATTCTTTCTACAAAACTTCATAATAAAGCTATTCAAGAAGTTTGTCCTACCATACCATCAAGAATAATAATCGAAATTATAGAACTTCAACCTATTTCGGATCATCAACTGAAAAATTAGCTCATTCATTTCTACATAAACAGGACTTAAAAGTAGCAAATAGAACAAATAACACGTGGAAGGTTTATTAAAAATAATAAAGACAGAACTTCTAAATTCGAAAAATCAGGGGTATACAAACTCAACTGTGGATCTAGGTCCTAGGGTATATATATATATATATATATCGGTCAGACAGGTCGTACGTTTAATCAGCGCATTCATGAACATAAGATGAATTTTTTGAAAAAGAAAACAAATTCAACATACGCCAACCATATATTACCTGGAAACCATAGTTTTGATGATAATTTCCAAATTCAACACGTAAAAAATAAAGGAATGAAACTCAATCATTTTGAATTATTAGAAATCAACAAACTAAAAAATTTTGACATTTTACTTAACGATCAATTAGAACTCAATAGTTCACCACTGTTGAATTTGTTTCCTGAGTAGGTAATAATATGTTTTTGCTATCAACCCTTTCAAGTTAATCCGGTACACTGTATTTTAATGTAGATATTGTGCGTAATTTCCGAAAATGAAGGTTTATCGAACTTGTCCACAGGTATAACTAATCCTTCAGATTGGGAAAGTAAGATATATATATAAGCAAGCCAAGTTAGTTTAGTTTATATCACCTGACGAAGCTACCTACTGTGTTAGCGAAACATGTGTGTTTGAGAATTTTGTGGAAATCTTATCGTTTATGAAGTTTTTACATTTGCCATATGGATTTCCATCAAGCAACGGCCGAGTCAATTCAAAATTTGAAGTTAGCACAAATAAATATATGCATTTATTTTCATGAAATATCACAAGAAATCTCCGCATTAATTTTCCGCACATTCCACAGTCCATTTGGATTGTATACGATATGTCAATTTCGTAAATACAGGAGAGGAAATACGAGGAATTCGGATTACCCCTATCAATTATAATAAACTGACAATTTATATAGGCAAGGACGAGTTATGATGATACCCATATCTCCAAACGCCTATGTGGCAGAAGAAAAAGCGGGCAATGTTACGAGGGAGAGCAAAGTAGTTCCAGGGAAAATCGTGTCGACTAACGGAGTTCCAGGGAACTTGGTACCGGCCTACACGAATAATTATGTGAATAAGAAACCGCTTGGCAGGCAAGTTTCGGAAACAGACCTGTATCTACTGGGTGCTATTGAGAAACTGGTGTACAAGGTGGACTTTATGGAGAAAAGGCTAAGGAGGGTTGAGGAAATGCTGTATTATGCTATGGCTGGAAACAGAATAGATACAGGTTAGTTTCATTCACATACATACATATAATTCGATCATTTTATAGCTATCTTTATAATATCAAAAGTTCAATAGCGTCATTGGTCGATGGTCGATGATGATAATGGACAATAATGACACGAAAACCGATAGATATGACTTGGAAATTTCACAAAAGCCCCCTAATGAAATAGTAAGCTATAATTTTAATTTTACCTTTATCTCAGGATATCTTGATGATAAGGAAGAAGGAAGTTATTGCTTGTAAAGTTTCACATTTCATTTGGAAGTAAAAACCCAAGCGTGTTCAAGCCTAATCATCACTCGAGCTTTTGTATTTTTCTTATAGGAAGCACGACTGCTAGAGGGTGGTGGAGAAATACGAATAAGACTCGGAATACCCCTATTGTTTCTGCAAATTTCCGAAAAAAACAAGCCATGAGCTGTCGTTTGGAATGAAACTGTCTACATTAAAAAATTCATCATTTTGCAAGAATACTAAATAATTCATGCTGAAGTTGAATAATATTCAACTTTTCTAGGTTTTCGACAGATTTCATATAGGAAATTATTATTACCTTGACATAAACCTCAAGCTCTAGTAGCGCATATAGACTATAAATAAAACTGAAAATGTTAACTGCTTGATTTATCAAACACCCTGTATGTTGGACGATTTAGTCAACATTGTCAAAATATTGATTTGTCAAAACAATAAAACGAAAGTTTGTTCCAATTTTCAGGATTTCACAAATATTTTCCATGAACGTTGAAACTAATTGGAAAACACCTGCTTTCAGGAAAAGCGTCGTAACAAAAATAGAAGAAGAAATTCGAATAGTGGGGACGAAAATAACAAAAACAAGTAATGAGATGGAACAGTATATCTTTCAAAAATCAGAAAACAAATCTGCATATCTCGGTTATATTTCAAGACTCATTTTACATATTCGCCAAATGAAATTGAATAAGAAAAGAGAAGATACCGCTCAAGAATTACTCGAAATTATAACCAGTAGGATGCCTCCGAAACTTGTGAAAATATTACCCAATGAAGAGTTAGAAAAAATGAAAATAATGTATGAAAAAAATATTCATAACACCATTTCGGATACTATGGTAGATGATTGAATTAAAGTAATTATCGAAACTAAAACGTAGTCTCGTGTACCTAACTTAATATCCACCAGAAGATATTCATCATACAGGACATGGAAAAGAATTCTGAATTGAGAAAACCTGATCACGAATCTGCTACTAAAGGTCTATAAAATAACAAGCTTACTTCGTTGAAATTTGAACCCCTTTTGATTGGGTGAAAGTATTGAAAAGGAATATTCTCAGATAAATTATGAACATGAAAGATTGGATATATATATATATATATAGTTTAAGAGAAGGGTAGTCTATGACTGACTAGTTGAGGTAAAATACTAGTGATTTAGAAACAAACACTGTGGTTCAATTCTTCATAGGGTTGCAGTCAAAATTTTAGGCATCAAATAAGTGAACTCTTCGTTATTTAGCCGAGCTTTCGGAAATGTTTATTTCCTTTTTCAAGACATCTATAAGAAAAATGGTATGCATAAAAAACAACATCAAACTCATAAGAAACTAAGTACTTACTTAACATGAGATTGGTTTAAAGTTGGAACAATTAAAGAACAGACGATTCATTTGCTGAATTTGTTACACAAACTGGAATACATTAGGATTTGTAAAACGTAGAAAACAATTTAAAAAACAGTAAACCACCGGTGCTTTTTCATAGTCGACTTCGATATCTCCACAAGATGGAAGCTAACAAACGGCCACAGATGATACAAATAATACGGAAAGAGCCGAATCGATTTCGATATCGATTACGAAAAGGTACGGATGGTGGGAAATTTGAATTGATAATTGGGTGGTGAGCCAACTTATTATTGAGGATTTGTTGAAAGCAAACAAATTAGTTCAGAATCTAGAAAAGAATAAGATGATAGAATCCGCTATGTCACAAAAATTGAAAACTTACAATGCTATTGCACCACGTTTTTATACACTCCCTAAAATTCATAAACCTACTCTGTCAATGAGACCGATTGTTTCCTCGATAAATTCACCGAATGGACCGTTAGCCTCCTTTTTAACAAATATTTTGACTCAAGCCTATGACACAGACAATGACTTCTATATAAAGGATTCATTTCAGTTCAGTACTTTTATAAATGATTATCAAGTCCCACAAGACCATATAATAGTAAGTTTTGACGTCATCTCTCTTTTTACCAACTTACCTCTCCATAGTGTTTTATCAAGTTTGCAGAACAAATGGGATGTGATTTCAAACTATTGTAAATTAGATTGGCCCTCTTTCAGATCCAGTATTGAGTTCATATTTGATTCAAATTTTCTAAATTTTAATAATACTTATTATAAACAAGTTTTTGGTACTCCTATGGGATCGTCGATTTCCCCAATTCTAGTAAACTATGTCCTTGACGACCTGGTTAAGGATTGTCTCAGCATCATTCCTTTTCAGATACCTTTTGTTAAAAGATATGTGGATGACTTAATATTATGTGTTCCTAAAGGCTGGATAGATGAAACTCTTGAATATTTCAACTCCTATGATCAAAATCTGCAGTTTACTTGTGAGCCGGAAGTAAACCACTGCTTACCTTTCTTAGATATGACAGTCATCAGAGCTGATGATAATATCTTGCGTACCAAGTGGTACAGGAAGCCGATGTGCAGTAATAGATACATGAGTTTCCACTCATATCACCCAATGAAAATGAAAATCAATCTAGTCCAAGCTTTGAAGAACCGGATAATTAAGTTAACCCACCCAATATACAGACAAAATAGTCTTCATGAATTAAAAGTGATTTTGCTGGAGAATTCTTACCCTAGTAAACTTATTAATAATATACTATTCAACTCTCAAGATAGAATTGTTGAAATCAATGATGTTTCAGCTAGGGACCCAGTTCCTATAGTACTACCAAAATACAAAGCACTACCATACATAGCAGAATTAACTCCAAAATTGTCTAATGTCTTCAAACATGAAAATATCATCATTGCAAAAAAACAAGTTAAAACAGTATCGATCCTTTTTTCTAAAACCAAAACTCCCATGAATAAACTAGAAATGAATAATGTAATATATAGAATCCCTTGCCCTAATTGCAACTTGACTTATATCGGTCAAACTTCGAGAAATTTATCAGGACGGATTTCTTCACACAAAAGTGATTGCAACTGTAATAGAAAACGCTGTGCACTAGCTGAACATGTCATTGATTCAAACCATAGAATGAACTTTAACGAGGTCAAAATTTTAGCACATGAAAATAGTTATTTGAAGCGCACTTTCTTGGAAATGGTTCACATTAATAATGAATCATATAGTATGAATAAAAAGTCCGATATCGACAATCTTAGCAACATTTATAATTATCTACTTAAAATTGAACAAATGAACTGTATTCCTAACAATATTTCCAGATTATCAATAACAAATCCTCAATAATAAGTTGGCTCACCACCCAATTATCAATTCAAATTTCCCACCATCCGTACCTTTTCGTAATCGATATCGAAATCGATTCGGCTCTTTCCGTATTATTTGTATCATCTGTGGCCGTTTGTTAGCTTCCATCTTGTGGAGATATCGAAGTCGACTATGAAAAAGCACCGGTGGTTTACTGTTTTTTAAATTGTTTTCTACGTTTTACAAATCCTAATGTATCCAGTTTGTGTAACAAATTCAGCAAATGAATCGTCTGTTCTTTAATTGTTCCAACTTTAAACCAATCTCATGTTAAGTAAGTACTTAGTTTCTTATGAGTTTGATGTTGTTTTTTATGCATACCATTTTTCTTATAGATGTCTTGAAAAAGGAAATAAACATTTCCGAAAGCTCGGCTAAATAACGAAGAGTTCACTTATTTGATGCCTAAAATTTTGACTGCAACCCTATGAAGAATTGAACCACAGTGTTTGTTTCTAAATCACTAGTATATATATATATATATATAAAACTAGCTTGCTAGTGCATGGGGATTGCAGCAAAGTGAATGTGAACTCATTACAGTTTGTCCGAGCTTTCGGAAATGTATATTTCCATCTTCAGGGTCTACTATAATAGATTTTTTATGTGTACAATGACAGCAATATAATGAATTGTTCAAATGGTTCTTACACTATTTGAGGATGAATATGATGTTAAGAAGAAATTTTGATAATCGATGTAACATTTTTTCAGACATACAGTGTCACGAAACATTTAAAATTCTTGTAAAAGACGAACAAAAACGATTCTTACATAATTTATACATCAAGTCAAATTCTTTTATCACAATTTAAGACATTGAAACACTTTGTCAGCGTTTATGTCAATATCAATTCTCTCTCGGTAAAGTAATTGTTTTCTGTTGAATATTTCAGAATAATATAATAAGTGCATATACATATTTTTATCCGAAGAAGAATGCAAATTCCGAGGCAAATTCTCAACTTCAGAAGATTTTGTTTTCAAATTCTTCGTGTGTGTTCAATAGATATAATTCAACTCGTCGTGGCATTATACCTATAGGAAAGTAGTTGTTTTCTGTTCAATAAACCGAAAAAGAATTGATATTTTCATCACATAGATAATGCGAATTCACAATGTACCTATTTCTTTATATACATATATCCATTTTTTCATGTTCATTATTTATCTGAAAATATTCCTTTCCAGATATTCCCTCAGGGGCTCACGACTTGTGAGTACGGGAATGGCAATCCCGAGGTACCCTAGCCGGATACTCATATTAATCTTCAACTTGTCTTTGATGGTATCCTCTTCACTCTTCAGTTTCCAATCTTTTTCTTCATCGGCCTCCCTTGGTCACTTCTCCTCTTTTCCTTCTCCCCTAAAGCCCAACCTCACCATAGTGCGGGGAGGACAAGCCGCGGCTGCTCGGCAGATTGAGCATTTTGGGAACATCTTTGCTGTCATCACTCAGATGGGACAGTTTTGTGGACATCTGAGTGCGAGGATGGGGCAATTTGTGAACATCTGCTTATGTGGCCGCGGATTGATAACGAGGCTCTGGCAATCCCCTGAGGGGCTCACAACTTGTGAGTACGGGAATGGTGAACCCGAGGTACCCTAGCAGGATATTCACCATACTTCAACTTGTCTTGGGTGATATCCTCTTCTCTCTTCCGTTTTCAATCTTTCTATCGACCTTTCTTGGCCAACTTCTCTTTTCCTCTTCTCCTCCAAGCCCAACCTCACCATCAAGTGGTGTGGGGAAGGCAGACCGCGGCCGCTTGACAGATGAAGCATTTTGGGACCATCTTTGCTTTCTTCTGCCAGATGGGACAATTTGTGGACATCTGTGGCAGGGATGGGGCGATTTGCTGATGTCTGTCTATATAGGTGGTCGAGGACTGGTCAACGAGGCTCTGGCAACCTAATCCAAGCTGTAGGAACCCGTGGCGATGGATGGATGGCACCGAGGAATGGTGTCGCTAACGGGGCCTCTGGGAAACAGGGGCAACAGGGCGACATCTCAGAGTAAACAGCCTTAGCCCTGTGCAGGGGGCACCACAGGGCTGGACCAACCCCTTCCCCCGTCACTCGTAGGAGAAGGAAAGCTTTTGGCCTTCTTTGTAGACGAGAACAGGGATCGGAATAGCAATATTCAGGGACCTGAACGAGAAGGGTCTTTCATATTGAAGTGGCCCTTAATAGGCACCATGAGTCGTATGTGGTAAAATTGAAAACGGCATGTAGGTGAGATACAATGGGCCACTAGGCCTAAGTGTCGTCGGAGCCTACAACGGGATGGAGTGTTTAGTGGGTATACCATGGAGGGGACTCCCACACTATCATATGGGGGATTGTACCCATATGATGTCTATCAAAGATTTCAACCACCTCGGCGAAAAAAAAAATCCTGATGAAAAAAATATGCTCACAGCATTTGCAACAGCGCCTCTGGTTAATTATCTCATTATGTTTATTATTGTTCTGTGAAACATATAATAGGTTAGTATCTCATAATTTTCATCAACGTGAGAAAGTCATCATGTTCTTCAAGAAGATAGTGTATTTATGTATACTCACCAACTTCGACCTTCGAGAGGTTCTTCAGCCCATGTGTTCTTTGTATGCTTTGTTACTGACTGCATTCAACAGTGATCGAACCGCGTGTGGAACCATCATCGGCCGAGGCATACGACGAAGTGTAGTATATTCATATAACTGGCATTATAAACCAAAAACCTCTGCTCAGTGCAAGACTGGATCTCACCTAGATCTCACGACATATACCTTCAGATCGTGATACGGTGATCGTTTCGTGTTATTGAATTCAACATTGTTTTGCAGAACCATGTCAGGAAAACTTCACCAAGGTTGGATCGGATTGTTACCATTTCAACAGTGGAACTGGAAGAGAATTTGACTGGAAAGTAGCAAGCAAACATTGCAAGAAATTAGGCGGATTTTTGGCAGAGATGGAAACAATTGAAGAAAATCAAGATCTCATAACTTACATCCTAGGCAGTCAGATTTTACGAGGTCAGTATATAGAAACACTTTTAGTGGTACTAGCACTACTACCTATATAGTTTGTCAGCTGTACGATGAATTGATGTTTTCATAGATATAGCGTGGAAACAATTCTGAATTGAAAAAACCAATCACGAATCTTTGATTAGGTGTCTGTTAAAACAAATTTCCATCTTTCAAGTTTGAACCCCTTTGATTGGGTATGGAATTTTTGAAAAAGAATATATCAGAAATATTATGATTATGTCTCCTGTTGAATATACCGAAAAAGAATTCATATTTTGATCAGATAAAGAATGCCAATTCTCAAAATGTGTTTTTTCATAGTATGTATCAATTTTTTTATTCTCATAAAATATATGAGAATATTTCTTTTCAAGAGTATTGATTATTAATTGTTTATTATTTATTGAAAAACTAGCTTCCAGTCAGAAATTCTGGTATGAGGAAGTTGATTACAAACAACAATAATAAAATAATATAGGGTGACAACAAAAACAAAAATATCTGAAAATGCTAAAAGTAATATATATAAAGTATTCGATAAAAATTCTGAAATAATACAGAAGTTAACATTCATTCCCTCCGGTCTGATGGGAAGTGATTGGAAATAAAGAATATATGTATACAGGGGGATTCAAACGTTAATCTTCATAATAACCGATCAAATCGTCTGAAAATTAGCATGCCCCTGTTTTTCAGGTGCTCTTCTTCTTTTTTGCTACAAAAATTATATGTCATATAATTATAACAGTTTTAAAAGAGTTGGAGTATTATAGGCACACGACGTTTATTGGATGCATTTTAGGACACATGTTTAAATTACGAAAAAGTCTCATTTCGATCCCAATAATATGATTCTGAAATATTTACATCCAATTTTGAATCACCCTGTATATTGTTATGAAAAATCAGATTTTCGCTCCGTACAGCGTACCAGATTTCTTTAGTTTAGTTTAAAATCTGTTCCTATTAGGTTAACTATATTTTGAACCCAGCAAGCACAAAAACATCTCAGAGATGTTAAAAGTACGAGATTTCGAGACATTGAACCTCCACTGCGATGTTCTGTTCACACATGAATAGAACTATTATAGAACAGCCAATGTCACAAAACTATACCTTCTCCCTAGTTCTTTTTAAAGCCTTTTCATGGTTACAACAAAACATTTTCAACGCGTCTTGCGCACATTAAATCGCTGTAAAAAAACCATTTTCGAGGTACTTTTCTGAAGCCTTCTGTCAAAATGAACTTTCGCATTAGGATTCCATTTCCCTTGAATGAAAAAATGCATAAAAAATAGATTGAACATAAAAATATTTTCTTGATATGAAATTACCTTCTTAATCGGTTTCTATGAGTAGTGCTTACTACACACAGACATATAATTGGAAATAGGTTTCCCAATTTTTGAAATGTTCTCCACAATGCATAATTTTGCAACTGCGGAGAAGCTGTGTATTGATAAATTCGTATATACTTTTATATATTGATTACACTGAGGCACCGAACAACACATCTTGCATCTGATGGTCATTATTACAAACTATATAAATAAGTCTTTTAACACAATAAACTTCACCAAATTCCTTTCTGATCGTTAGCAGCGTGATGTAAGCGTGTGACACGCTACAAACGCGAATGCCATGCAATTGCGAACAAGAAGAACAAAATCGAAAACAAATCAGAATTCATCGTATTGTGACGTAAGCATGAGACGTTGTGGTGGGGCAAACAAAGAAAGGGCACAAAAGAACAAAAACAATACTTTCAATATCCTTCTAAGACCTCTTTGGGAAGTGCATATTACGCCTCAAAAAAACATCCTCATGCCTATACATTTCTAAAACATCACAAAACATCCCAGGGATACCTCTCAGTAGGCAAACAATGAAATGCCACAGAAGAACAAAAACAATACTTCAATATCCTTCAAAGACCTCTTTGGTCAGTGCATATTAAATAACATCTTCATGCCAACATTTTCAAAACATCTCAAAACATCCCAGGGATGTTTGTACTCGCTGGGAAGGTAATAAAAAAATCAAACAGTATCCATTTCATGAACTGAATATTTCAGGACTAATATGTTTATGAAACTTTTTGAAACTTTTAGATCCTGATACATAGATTCTCTCTCACATTGGATGCCATTTTGTTCATTATTGAGTCTCAGTTATTAAGTCACTTCGGGAGAACTACGACGATCTCCTCAACATTATGATTTTCAAATTTACCACACTGTGTTTTCTCATTTCATGAATAGAATTGTTCAAAATACATAATTATGAAACTACCGTTATACTTTAGACACCCCAGTAAACACAAACATCCCTGGGATGTCACATTCATTTCTCGCTAGGTAACAATGCGAATTACAAGTTAATTTTCATTGGCACTGCTAGGGCTCTTTATTTTACAAAACATTCGCAATATTCGTCACATTTTATTGAATTTGAGACCTGAAATGTAGGTGAATTTGTGAGGCTCCTTAACAACCAAGAGACTCACTGGAACCTCACATCAATTCTTGTCTATTTATGTAACAAACGGAATCAATCAATTCTGATGTTGAATGAGGACTCGCTCAATATGTACTATGAGTTTCATTTGGCATCATAATGTGAATCATAAAATGACCAAAAAGGGTCCGGAATAGCAGTCATTGTGATTTCAGTTGGAATCTCATTTTGAGTCACGGATGTGATGTGTTAACTGACCTGTTTATATTAAGAAAAAGTCTAATTTCGATCCCAACAATATGATTTCAGAATATTTAGATCGAATATGTTTTTTTGCAAGCCAACGCAATTTCTTGTGTTTGGATTTCATTTCAATTGCTGAAGCACTAAACGGGTCATTCCTTATTCCCAGGTAGGGACTTCTGGGTGGGCGGCCTCAACCCCGGCCTCCTTTGGATCTGGAGCCACAGCGCCCGTCCAGTCGCCGCCCCTGGCTCGCAGACCAACAAGGAGAACCCCTCGGCCGCCATCCAGGGCGAGGGGCGGTGTCTCAGGATCGCCTACAACCCCGCGCTCAGGGCGTACGCCTACAAGGGCACTGACTGCTCGCTCAGGTACAATTTCGTGTGCGAGGCCCCGGAGACCACGTCGAGCAACGAGATCAGGCGATTGGGACGGGAGAGAAAGATATTCGGAGATGAACTGTGAAAGGGAGAACAAAATGTTGGAATTTTGACATTTTTCAGTTTTGAGTCTCTGATGTCGGTTATTATATTTTCTTTCTGATGGTATTGAAAATGATTTCAAAATTTTTGCATTTTTCATTTTTGCGTCTCTTTTTCATTTTCTTCATGGAATATATTCATAATTAAGTATACAAACTCTCTTTTTCTGAATAATACATTTTCCAAAGTCGAGATCTAGTACCAAAGAAATATAGAATTCACCCCATTATGCCATGAATGCCCAATAAAAAAAACTTGAAAATATAGAAGATGTGTTAGTTCGCGTACAGACTTTTTATCATCATAATATAAATTATTATTATTTATTATTTATTCAATAAATTCATATTCAAAAGAACAGGTATACCTAGATATATTTTTTTCCCTATCCAGAACATAATTCCTACCACCTATAACTCGTTGGGTACCTTTTTTTCAACTGTTGGATGCTTGCTCTACCAATAAAAAAACGAGATTCCTCACAATGGCGCCCGAGCAGGGACCATTTCCTTGCCTACCCATTATTATTCGTCTCACAAAAGTCTCATTCCAGTTCTTACAGAATCTGATGATAACCGTTATATGCAACATTCAAGTGTACTGTTTCTCATTTGCTATTCATAAAAAATCATATAGTGAAATAAACTGATCCCCTCGGCCGCAATTCAGGGCGAGGGCGGTGTCTCAGAATAGCCTATAACCACGCGCTCAGAGCTTTTACGCCTACAAGGGCACAGAGACTGCTCTCTCAGGTACAATTTCGTGTGCGAGACCCCGGAGACCGCGACGAGCAACGAGATCAGGCGGTTGGGGCGGAAGAGGAAGATATTCGGAGATGAGCTGTGAGGTGAATTCCGAAATTTCGGCATTTTCGTTTGCCTCTGATGATGAAATAAAAAACGAAATTTCGATATTTTTCATTTCTTAGTCTTAGAAAATAATGGGCACGCCTCTGAACCAATATAAATGAGTAAACAAAACCTTTTTTCTAAATATTACTTCTTTCAAAGTCGATATCTAGTACCATAATCTGAAATGTACCCCTTTATGCCCAATTTGTTCCATAGAATGTATGCCCAGTAAAAAAAACTGATGAAAATATACATGAGTAGATCATTTGCATTACAGGATTGTTATTATCATAATATATCATATCATCATTATTATTATTCATTATTTATTCAATGAATTCATATTTGACTCGACAAGGATACCTAGTTATATAATTATTTGTATTTTCCTATTCAGGAGGTAGTTCCAACCACCTAGAAATCATTATCTTTTTTATGACTGTTGGATGCTTACTACCAGTTAAACGAGGTTTCTTACAATGGCGCCCGAGCAGGGACCATTTCCATGACAACACCGTTTATTCCTTTCACAAGGTTCATTTCAGTCACTATACAGTATGTACACCATCCAACTGCGACATGTACAGTACACTACAAAAACGAAAACAGGTTTTTGATCAACATGGCCCTCCGCTTGAGGTATCATCAGACCATTGTCGTATCAGCAACCTGAAAAAACGAGAAAATGCATGGAAAATTCGAAGAGTGCTTGAAAACGTGTCACGCTCCCGAAACACTTCTCCACATGTCGATGGCTTGCCATCCTTTGGTGTCATCAGCCATCCGCTCAAATATACTATTATGCTGCCTTTTTTCATTAATATAGAGGAGTCAAAGAAGGAAAGTTTATTGAAAAATTGCATGAATGTAATTCGTATTAAAGCTCTTTAAAAAAACACGTAATTAATAAGCGTCATAACAAAAATATATCTCAACCAGGTTCAACTAAATACTAGTACAATGACTAAACTCCTTCAAAGTATCCAAATCCCTCATCAGCATCTGCAGAGTCTGCCTGGTCCTCGGATAATCCTCATCGACCTCCATGTTCATGCCCTCCTCCAGAGCCTCGATTTGCTTCTCGTAATCGTCCAGCCGTTCCTCAACCAGCGACTCCTGGTGGATGATGTGCTCCAGAAGATTCAACCGACAATCGGTGGAATCAATAGCCGCCTCCGGTTGCGGAATCATCGGACCATTCGTGTCCATCAGCGAGTTAAGGTCGATCTTCGGCATGACCTCCTTGCCGGCCTTCAGGATCATCATCAGCATGGAGTTCTCGTTGGAAGAGTCTTCTTTGTTCAGCTCAGACTTCAGGTAGTCTCCGTCGCTTTCGAGTTTCGGAGCGGGCTCATGGTCCTCGGGTTTGGCTTTCTCGGGCAGCGATTTCTTGGCCCAGGGTTTCGACCACAAATACAGCTTGGGGTGATTTTTCGCTCTGAAATCGAGGTCCATAATGAGATATATTGTAAATAGAGAAGAGTACAGGTATACATTCAGGCAAATCTCACTGTAACATATTCAGGAGCTCAACAGTTAATTCCAACTTAGAAAATACCGTTAGAAATTATGGCGAAATTTGATCTTAACCTTGTTTGGTTAATATTTAAAGCAATATTACCTCCGTAATAGCAGGTCTTATGACGTAACGTACGTTAAAGTTTTCTGTGTGAAAAAATTTCATTCCACTTATTCCTTGTATTATTAGATGATGAATAAATCCAGAGAACAAACACGAATTCACAGTAGAACTCAAACATCAGCATAACCACGATTTTGAGGAAGGCGTCATACTCTTATTTGTTGTTTTGAATTTTTTGAAATATTATAATACCAAAATAACAACAAAATCCTATTAGAATAATGAAGAAATATTATGAAAGTATTAAGAATTGTGAGAAAGTAGGGACATGTAGACTCATTAACTAGCGAATTCTTGTGACCTTGTTAAATATGATCCTGCAAGCGTTATTATTATTTAATTTGCATGCATTAGACATGTATTATAAAGGAAGAGCCTAAATGAATGAGTGTGAAAAATTGTAGGGGTCATATTTTATGACAAGAAGGTTAATGGGCGTGTACACCTTAGTAGAACTTTTAACTCAAACCATGTTTATAATGATCCTTTTATACATAAATAATGATTGACGACATAATTCGATCGAAAAATTAACTGGAATGTTTTATTTTTGGACATGAATGATAGTACCTTCTGAAAACGGAGACCCTCTTATGACGTAGAAACCCCATCTCGCCATATATATATATAAAAACCATACATATCTACTACTGATATATATAATAAATTTTTTTTGTGATATAAGCCCATTGTAATCACAATGTATGACGGGAATCACCTAACATTATTTATTGTCCACCACATCGCGCCACTGAAACGTAGGGTCAGAGTTGGTAGAACTGATAAATATACTTCTTCTTTTCGTGTGATTTTGCCTCTTCATATGATATCTTCTTGTCTGTCAATGTAATAATTGATGGTAAAGTTCCACATTGAGAGTAAAAAAGACGCAAGTCTGGCTCTAGTCTTTCCATAACTTCAGTTTTTCTATTTGTTCAAATAGGCGACATCATTTTTTCAGAATATTTTCGATAAAGCAGGCCACAGCTGTTAGGCTATCAGGCAAAATTTTGAGATTTTTGACTTGACCTTGACCTCACGTTTAGTAGCGCCAACTGGTGAGACTGAAAATGTTAGCCCTCATTGAGAGTCAAAGTTTCCATTGTTTTTCTTAGAAACCTAACGAGATGCGAAAGAAACTCAAGTGACACGAAAGTTATATTATTAATGGTTCAGTCAAATGAATATATCAAACTTTTTCTTAAAAAGTGGCATGCAATGATTGAAATATCAATAAAATGAACCTCAAACTAAATTATATCAAAAGAAGCTCTTTGTTACTTTCAACAAAAACAAGTTTGATTGAAATTGGCAAAAGGAAATTGGATTTTTATACAGAAACTCTGGCATCAAGTATCATATAAAAATAAATAGGTACTTACTCGGCAATTTTCATCTTTACACTCAAATTGTGCAAGTACTCTCGCAACTCTTGCAATCCGCCCGACATATCGTGACATTTCTTGAGTTTTTCAAATCTCTTCTGCAATGCCTCATTATCTCTAATATGATAACTACCCACAGGTAGAACACCTTGTTTCATCCAATCTTGATCGTGATAAAATTTTCTGGAAAGCCGTTCTCTCAGAGGATTTTGACAAATGTAGCATACATATTTATCCGGAACCTACAAAAATAATATTAAGGTAGTTACAGCTTAATCATTATGAATACATTTATTATTTTTATTATCCCCATTTTGGTGCATCATATTGTATTTCATATTTTTATAAATTCATAGCCAAATGAAAAAGATTTGAAATGATCTTGAAAAATACTTGATTTCACATTGAATGTGAGAAAAATCTCTTTAGCAGGAGCAAGAATTACTTTCCCCTAGTTGACATTATATTAATCAATGGATTGTTTTATATGCCGTCCTTTGGAGGAGACGTTAAGCCGGCAGTCCCGAGGCCATGGATGTTGGACTCGTTAAAGATTCTGGTTGGAACACCAGAGGATTCGGAAAAATTTCCGGTTGGGGGTAGTGTGCTCACCGGCGTCGGTGCATCAGTAGCAGAAATAGACCGATTTTAAAGAAACAAGAAGAATGAATTGTTTTCGATATCTGCTTATGTATGCCCATTAAAAACTGTTTGAGAGTAAAAAAGACAACGTTTCTCGAGGTTTCTTTTGTTATGATGAGCTTGGTTTGCAGAGAATGAACAATTTGTCCATGAAGATGAAACTAATGCAGTTCTGTTCACCACTAGAACTGCAAGTCAGACTTTGTCCCGATATATCGGATTGAACAAATAGTCAGTCCTTCCCATCATATTCATATCATCTCTAAAAGCATTCAAAAGGAAAATTTGGGAACTATTATATATTCAAGACCATACAACCTGAATGAATATTTCAAGTAAAAGTTTCAGATGTTTTGAGAGGGCTATTTTTATTTTACACATTGCAACATATACAGGCCAAACTAACCTGACTCTCCCTCTCAATGTTGTTACAGTATGCGTGCTGCCAGCACTGGCACAACTCGCACTGTATCATCAATCCATCTTCCTCGGTGAACCCGCACGTGCAGTTGATGATCTCCTCCTGCTTCATTCTAACGATCTTGATCACTTCGCCGCCTTCAATGATAACGTCGTTAGGGGGAGGGACAGGGTCGGAAGCGGGAAGAGGGGTGTCCTGTGTCGGAGTGGGCGTGGTTTGTGGGAGTGGTGAGGGTGAGGATGGGTGTGGTTGGACGTGGTGGGGGTCTTTACCTTTGACGATCTCGACGTTTTCGGTGTAGCCGCGCTTACGTCTGCCCGGGTGCTTGGGGGTATCCTCCATAGGAGCAGGATTCACTGAAATGATTTGTCTCAACTACAACTTTTCCAATCTGATGTAAGTATTCAAAATGAAAAGTTAATATTTTTCGTTTCATTCTCCCATTCGGACTTCTTATATGTTGATGTTTAAGTTGCGCGAAGTTCTACTTTGGATGTGGAGAACACAAGCCTATCGGAAAAACAGTCCTTAGCCTCCAGGACGATCCGACAAAAGTTCGATAATTTTGAAATTGAGATAGATTCCAAGTAGCAGCAACTGAAAATGTTAGCCCTCACTAGTTTATGTATCTAGTGTCAAGAAACTGAATAGACTAAAGACTTGGTATATGATCCACGTCATTTTAGTTTACGTTAATTTCCATGAAATGTCAAAACTAAACAACTCGCAATATATCATCAATCCAACCTCTTCGGTGAACCCGTACATGCATTTGATGATCTCCTCCTGCTGCATTTCAACGATCTTGATCACTTCGCCGCCTTCAATGATAACGTTGTTAGGGGGAGGGACGGGGTCGGAAGTGGGATGTCCAGTGTGGGGGTGGGCGTAGTTTGTGGGAGTGGCGAGGGTGAGGATGGGTGTGGTTGGGCGTGGTGGTTGGTGGTGGTGGGGGTCTTTACCTTTGACGATTTCGACGTTTTCGGTGTAGCCGCGCTTACGTCTTCCCGCGTGTTTGGGGATGTCCTCCATAGGAGCAGTATTCACTGGAATAAGAAAAACCAATACCGTTTCGTACCGCCATTTGGCCTTCTTATCTGTTGATGTAAAAGTTGCGTCAAAGTTTCACTTTGGAAGTGGAGAACACAGGCCTACCAAAGCCGAACCATAGCTTGAGTTTTTGTATTTGTTCACATGACACACTACTGTAGCTGCTCATTTTCAGAAAAACAGACCACTTCAGGATTGTCATCCTTAAAGAGTTCGAGATTTTTTAAATTGACATAGATTTGAAGGTTTATAGCAACGAATTGTGAGACGGAAAACGATAGCCCTCATTTACAAGAAAAATCTAAATTTTCATTATTTTTTCTAAGAGATAGGTAGATAGATAAATTATCTATCGAAATTTACTTAAATTTCATTCGAGACTTTGACTAATGGAGAACAAATCCCCGTTTAGTATCTTGTGCATATAACATATATCAAAACATCAAAATGGAGTATTTGTTTCTAAGTTAATTAATATTGTTGAAATCTTTCGAAATTTGATAAATACATCCCAATAGTTTGAATGCTTGATTTGTGGTTGCATGGTCGACATAATATGATATTTGACATCCAACTTGCTTTCAAACCATACCCTTAGACAAGATTTTCGCTCAGAATCTGGCAATTATCGTTCATAAAATATTTCAAATTTATAGGATGTTCAATCTTAGAAAAGGCCACAATTTTGGATCATTCATGTTCAGATCTAATTTATTTTGTGCACATAATTGTGCGGGAGATTTGGAAAAATTAGGATTTTGAGATAGTGTACATTTACATAATGGATTTTGATATGCAATAATGTAATTGAATGTATATAGTTAACACTCGTGTACCACATTATATTTCATTTGAAAAATTATACCAACCTCCTACCAATTATCCTGTCAATTCGAAATGTGCCGACTTAATTTTTTTGCCATTAAAAATTATAGCAAATATAACCTTGTATAATTTATTATTATAACAAATCAAAAGTGTTAGGACCCTAATGAATGTTTACCTGGAGAATTTTCCACATTAGGATGTCTGTGAACGGGCAGCAAAGTTTTGATTCCAGACGCGGGCCTTGTAGCACAAAGACTCTTCATATTCACATCCTCTTTGTTTGGCACCCCTTCCGCCTTGGTCAGAAGATCCTTCAGCTTGATGTCGGGATACATGTCCACGGGCAAACCAGAAGGCAACGGTTGGATAGGCTCCGGATTTTCCTCTTCGAAGGGCTTAGAGTTCAGCAGCTTGATTATTTCGGAATCTTTGTTTTTTGGCAGGGGAGCCGGTGTTTTCGGTTTGCCTACAGGTTTGAGTTCTTGAATCTCGGAAACCGGCGAGCTGGGTTGTTTTGAGGTCTTCGGCGTTCCTCTGGCGACTGGTTTCAGAGGTGGCGGTTTGGTAGGTCCTAGAAATACAGTTGACAATCTTGGAAACGGTATAAAATTAGGAAATCTGTTGAATTCGTTTAGAGTTGCGTAATTTCAGATAATTTTGCAGACAAGTGGGTTGAAACCATAATGTGTGATGCATTGCTACGTTTATTATGAAGAAATAAATCATCGGAAAAATCGAAGTTGATGATTATTTTTCTGAGATAAAACGTAGGAGTTTTATGGCCGCCATAACATTTTCGAAATTACATCAGAAACCAATAGAAACGAAAATAGTGATGATTCTGATCTTTCACTGTTTCCATGCTGTGGTCTTGGACACAGTGTATAATATGAAATTCTTCAGAAATATGAAAAAGTGTGTTCTGGAATTTAAGTTTAATCAATTTTATATTCGATTTATTGTCCTATTGATTCCAGGAGATATTGAGCAAGATCATAACAAATAGTATGGTCACAGATTAACAAAAGGTTTGTTAATCTGTGGTATGGTATAACTAAAGTTATCATTAATAATCGCAGAACAGTAAAATAGCCAAAAACTGTTAGATTGTGAATGAGATATTGTTTCAAATAATCATGAGAGCAGACATTTGCTTCTTACTAGTCCTACGACCACAAAATGATCAGCGACCATTCAAACCAATAATTGCTTCTTACTCAACATTAGGTTTTCAGATCATCTTGGTTATCTCATTATTTCAGTTTGAAATAAAACAATTCACTGATTTTGAAAAACAAATTATTCACTATACTTACTATCACACATAGTAAAAATACCCGGTCGGGCACTGATAGTAACAATGTAATTGAAATTGATGTGAATACATATATGAAAATGCTAACTAGACAAAGCGTGATGGCTGATGGCCAATATCAATAAATTTAGCTGTAGTTCTAAAACACCTTTGTATGTAGAATAATAAAATCATATATATATACTTAGAAACTGGGGTTCAATCCTGTATCCAAACAACTCCTCTGGATAGCATTGAAAAAGAAAACAGTGTTATTAAATTTCTAGCTTCATTCAAACAATGCAAAATAATGCACATGAAACAAACTGGCTGATATATGTTGCACCTATCAATCAATTGTGATCTTATCTGTGAATAAATCACTACTTGTGTAGTTTATCAACACAGATGGCTATCACCGTTTTATATCAAAATTAAAAAAATATATCAGTCCGATGAATTGATTCCATGTTTCCATCAAGTTCATCTTTTCATTTTTATTTTGAAAATACAAAACATTCTGTTACTAGTACATTCCAGTTAACAATAAAGCATGTAATATGATTGGGACTGTTTGAACTAGATTTCCATTGTTCTAAGCACCAGATGAGTTTACACTAGCGATATGGTTATTACTGATGAACAATGAAGTGCTTAGTTTAGCGGTAAGTTGTCTATGAATAGTCTGAAATAAAAGCAACAGTTGAAGTTATTGACTATCAATGTTTAATATATGTTGGTTGTCTTCCATGAAAGTTAGCTATAAAAAAAATGGCCATCACTAAACTAGGCTCTGCTATCCATGCCACCAACTTTATTCTTAACTGGAACAAACTATAGACTAGAATATTAACAAAATAGTAGAAAGTAAAGATAGCTGTTCATACTTCAACGAACTTATTTCAAACATAAATGAAATACCAAGTTGCACATTAGATTGCTAATTCACCTGGAGACTTGTCTAAATTTTCACCAACAGTTCGAGCGTAGGCTAGATCGGCCACATTCGGTGTAGAATCCAAAAACTTCGTATACTCAGGGTGATAATGCTTGACATGCATCTGCGCCAAATTTTCCCTCCTAAAAGTTTTACCACAACCTTCTATCGGACATTTATAAGCATCATCTTCGAAAAGAATTTTCAAAGCATTTGGGTTTTCTGTAAAATATGTCAGTTTTGAAACGTGAACTACTCAATCAAATGATACGCAAACCTTCTTTCACTATCTCTTCCTCAACTTGAGGTGGTTCTTCAGGAACAGGCAATTCAGGCTGGACCACAGGTTCAGGCGGTTTAGCAGGGGTAGCATTATTATTATTCTTTTTCTTTCTCTTTGATACCAGAGAGAAATCGAACATATCTTCGGTAACGCCTGCATCTGGATGGATCGCCAAATATTTCACTACATCAGTTTTCGATCTAAATTTCTTACTATCCGGGCTAAAACGAAATTTCCGATACATATGTTTTGACTGACAACACTAGAAAGAATAGGAACATAACCTAGACTCAAAAATATAAAGTGTAGTTATGTTTCCTGATAGAGAACAAAAGTGTTGACTGTATGGAATAAATTCAAATCATATGAAGAAAGCTTCTTCTGAGAATTTTCCTAGAATACTCAGTGAAATGGTGAATGATTTTTTGCAATATCAACTTTATGAGTGGTATAACAGAAAATCAGAAAACAAAAAGACATCTATCTATCTATCTATCTTGTTATTCTTCATCTTAATATCCTTGATCGGGCATTAATTTTATATCATGAGCTAGAACATGATTACCTTCAAATTAGCGGATTTGATGGTAGTAAACAAAATAGACTTGCATTCTCAAATGATATAATGGATTGTTGTTCTGAAACGGGCCCACTCAAATATGTGGAAAATGTGTATCAACTGACAAAAAATGAAATATACCTGGTTATTACAGTATCCCATTTACGTGCAGCATCAGTACCCTTAGTCCTACGGAGTAGGTGTTTATCCCAGCCTTCAGGCAAACGAGGATCTGGTACTATCACCGAAGATTTCGGGCCATCTATGGTGATCAAACTTGATGGTATACCAACCGGTTTACCATTCAACCAGCTATGAAAAGAATATACTTGTTTCACATCAAACTTCAACACCACCACAATGTTGGAATTTGAAAACTTTTAATTTTTCTAAGAAGTAATGCTAGTAAATGTATGGCACATGACAAAGCTCAGACAAGGACAAATATAGATGTGTACTTTCGAAGTCATAATTTCAGTTGATGGTATATTTCAACCTATTTCCTAAAAGTTTCCTTGAGATGATCTCCAACAATAAATGAATCTGAAAGAATGAAATCTTTCAACCCAAAAGTCAGGCAGTGTATCCCTTTCCCTTGATCTCTTGCTCATCTATTTGTCCTCCAAACCATTTCACAAAAAAAATTAGGAGTGCTACTTTGAATCATGTTGGTTAATATTTCAACTAATAAGTTTCCAGCATTGTCCTATAATGACCATCTCCTTTAGTACAAAGAAGATAAAAATGACATAAGAGTGGGAAGTACTTTTTTTTTAAGCTTTTATTTAACTTGCAATGTATGTATGTATGTATGTTAGTTCGGGTGGAATCCTTGAACTTAATTTTGAAGTAGATATCTTCAACCGATTGAGCTGAAACTTTGTATACACGTTTAGTTTGTTTGGATGACAATGCATGATAAGGTGTGTGAAGTTATTCTAAATCCAATATGGCGGACCATCCAAGATGGCGGAATAGTTATTTATAATGCACTTCTACAATATGGATAGCAAATAAAAGGGCTCGTTGAGAGTAACTCGAAAAATAAGGTGACGTCAAAGTGAATTCGATATGGTGGACCATCCACGATGGCGGAATGGTTATTTATAATGCACTTCTACAATATGGATAGCAAATAAAAGGGCTCGTTGAGAGTAACTCGAAAAATAAGGTGACGTCAATCTGAATTCGATATGGTGGACCATCCAAGATGGCGGAATAGTTATTTTTAATGAACTTCTACAATATGGGTATCAAATGAAAGGGCTCGTTGAGAGTAACTCGAAAAATAATGTGACGTCATTCTGAATGCAATAAGGCGGACCATCCAAGAGGGCGAAATAGTTATTTTTAATGCACTTCCACAATATGGGTATCAACATTTTATTTTATTCTTTTTAGAGCGTTTAAATAAAAGCATTTTATTGAAAATGTTTTTTACTTTCAATTTATTATTCATCATTTATAAAATGATTTGGGTTTATAGATCCATATAGATGTGTAATTTTTGACGATGATACGCGTATTTATGTGAATAAAAGCTGTAATAAACTCATATATTAGATGATATACAGGAAAAATCACAAAACTTGTTCAATACATGTGGGCTGAGATATACCCAAGTTTGGTTATGTAAAGTACAAATTAATATTGATTTCTGACAAAGCAATTTCCAGGAAGAAAAAACCTCATTACCTTGGTTTCCAATCTCGAATACTTTCAGCAGATAATGTTGCATCTGCAATATCTTGCTGTTCCTGAACATCTTGAGGTTTCAGCTCCCGATCGATCGGAGGTTCTTGAGCCCGCTTCGGTTTTTCTCCTGAGTGGTCTAGCTTAACTCTTTTCCTAAATAGTGCGGACACGTTGATCTTACGTTTCTTTTCTCTACGATCTTGCTTGCTACCTTTGACGGGATCAAATAAAGGAGAAGATTGCAAGACCTTACCTTGAGACTTGCTTATGCGATGTGCTTTCAAGGTTTTGACAAAACCATCGTCAAACAGTACTTCGTAAATATCTGAAAAAGGACTTATGGCGAATAGAAATATAATCTAGGAACACACTGTGAAATTATTGTGTTAAAACAGTACCTTATCGCAATGAAAGCTAGAATTCAAGATAGGCTCCACTTTTTGTTAGTGAGAATAAAATGAAAAATCCTCGGAAAAATCATGTAATTACAATGATGTTAGATAAGTAGATATTTGTAATATTGCATCAATGTAGAAACCTTACATTCAATTAATTCATGGAAATTACTGTTAGGACTGAAATTTGTGGTCTTTGATCTATTGATCTCTAGGCCTACCATTGATTTACATTATATTAAATCAGATTGTGAACATTGAAGTACGGGGTTTCCAATCAAATGGGGTTCAGGTTCCTAGTCTCAAAATAGACAGATTTTGATGATGATTTTGGGTGCAAGCCACCTTGATCGTTGTAAAAAAGTAAAATATTTTTCTTGAGTATGACATTTTCCGTTTGGTTACATACACTTACAGTTTTATTCGAAATATTATATCCCTCTACAAAAATGTTATTACCTGTAGCAGTTTTGACAGAAATGTACTTTCAAATCTGCATGTCTATTGAAAAAATTATTATGTCATTAGAATTGACCTCAGATTCCATTCAAAGACGAGTCAATCGCATGTCTGATGATGCCACACTCACTAATTCCTCCGAGAATTCCTCGACCTGATTCGAACGCCGCAGAAAAATTGGCGACCTTCTACTTTTCTATAGATACTCTCACGGAAAATGTTCTTCAAAATCCCGGCTATCCCTCCATCAGGAGGAAAACCCGTTCATATGAACTCAACAACCTCAGTCAGCACATCCCAAGGCATTTCTTTTTGTCTTCAACCTCAAAAACATGCCGAACAACTCTCTACTAAAACTCGTTGTTCCACAAACATTCGTGCGCTCCCAAAAAACAAAGAAGCAGACAGAACTAACAGTGGAGGAGTAAAGGGATTGGAAATGAAAATGTCTAACAATCGAAATCCGAAAGGAAAAACCCTCGGAAAAACCATTCTCATGAAGGATATGATTGATTTTAAACAGTAAAAGGATTTTCAAGAAACCTCAAGTCATATTCTTTTCTGGAACTCCCAACTAAATTTTAATCTCTTCCAGTGACGTGTCGTGAATTTCGTAACGGGAGAAGCTGTGACTAAAAGATGAAAAAAAAATGCGTCGCAAGTAAAAAATGTTAAAATTTCAAGACAAGGCGCTTAAATTGGAAGTGATTATAAATATGGTAGACTCAGTTTATGTGATTTCTTATATCCAATAATGAAATAATGTATCCAACTTAACTTGAAAACAATATTTCTCTTATAGTTAATGCTGCAAATCGTTTAAAATGAATTCAGGAAAATATGATATATAATATATTGGGCAAACATGCTAACCAACAAGTTCACAAGTCAATTCACGGCCGTTGAAAACATACCTACATCATTGAAATAGGGAATCTCTATCGGCCCCAAAACAGTAAATGACTTCACAGTATTTGTTTTGATTAATCACTTCGAAAAAAAAGGTCTTCCCCAGTCACCACATGGATTATTTGCCAAAAGATTTGTTGTATGACATCGTATTGCAGGATGTTTCAATTTGGGTCATATTGACTTCATGCAACCTGCTAACTGGTACCCCGTGGTATAGTTTATGCAAAGTCAGTTGAACAGATCATCAAACGAATGTCGGGCCGCGCTGCCGCACTCTTTGAACATTCAAAGGGACCGACGGCTTGCGGTGATATGTTTTTACAACTGACTTTGCATAAACTTATATCACAGGTGGCTATTAGCGGTAGCGGTATGTATCAAAATCAAAGGGAGGAAATGTAGAAAAATGTTGTTGCCTTTTTTATTCGAGAAAGGCTTGAAAGTCGTCTGTGGGAAGCTGCAGAAATTAAAAATTAATAATGTCTGGGTTTTGTAAACTAGGTCATTTGACTTTGTTCTGCAAATAAGGATCAGATAGTTAGTGAAGTGAATATTCAAGTGTAAAAAATCTAAAACTGAATACGGCTCAATTCTCATTTCTGAAACACGTTCTATCTGAAAACTCTGTAGTTTTCGAGATATTTGACTTTGGAGTTATTTTCACATAAAAGGCCATTAACAATATTGCTAATAATTTTTTTCAGATAGATCACCATCCTATCATCACCTATTTTAAGGAAAAGGGCGAACAAAGAAAACGATTGTTAGGGTCATCAATGGGCTTATATCACAAACATTTTTTATTTCATAATTCGATAGAACTCACCCAAACTAGCTCACCACCGCGAACCGTTTCTTGCTGTGAGCATATGCTGTGAGCTCCCTACGTTTTAAAAAAAATTATTGAAATCCCCGATTTTTCGGACCTCTGAAAACGAGGCGATGATGTGACGTCAAAACCCTAATAATGAAACACAACTATTCCAGACAGAGATGAATGATACATGATTTATGACATAGTGAATTAGCGCGAGATCACAGTTGAAAGAATTAATATATCAGTTGCCTCAGTCTCCGTCGGGCTTTTGGTATTTTCTTTTAACTATGGCGAGATGAGGTTTCTACGTCATAAGAGGATCTGTTTTCAGAAGGTACTATTATTTATGTCCAAAAATAAAACATTCCAGTTAATTTTTCGATCGAATTATGTCGTCAATCATTATTTATGTATAAAAGGATCATTATAAACATGGTTTGAGTTAAAAGTTCTACTAAGGTATACACGCCCATTCCGCCAACAGAGACGGCAGAAAATGGAAGAGAGGGAAAAATTGGCGGATTCCTTAAATAAATATATGAAACCATCAGAAATAAGTGGAAGTAAGAAAGTACTGACGAACCAATAACAGACCCGGAAATGAGTAAAGTGAAGGTATTCTTCTCAATATCAGATATATGACCTTATCATCTCTTAATGAAAGATTCAAGGGGTTGGAGCAATTCAATAACATTTCTATTTATTTATCAAATGTTCAGCTTGAATGAAGAAGAATTGAGAAGCTTGTGTGACAATTTATCATTTCATTTGAAAGATGATGCACATGAAGAATGAGATATAGATGCAAATCACTTATTTGATGAAATTATTTGTTTAAAATGCCACTTACCAGAGCAAAATGAGTTATATCCTCAGTTAATCCTTCAATACATTTTAAAGAACAATTTAATTTCCACATTTCCGAATATGGCCCTGGAAATTCGATTTTTTTTAACACTACCAGTATCTGTAGCATCAGGAGAGAGGCCTTTTTTAAAATTAAAATTAATAAAAAAAAGATTTCTATGATTAACTATGGCACAAGATGGACTGAGTAATTTGGCAATTATGTTCATTGAAAGTAACCTTATGGATTGTATCCCTTTGGACTAATTGGTAAAAGATTTTGCTGAAAAAACGGCAGGGAAAGAGAAACACTCATTTCCTTCATTTGTAATTCAAAATTATAGATTATAAGTAATAAGTATCATTTCAATTCTGTGTTCCCTCTTATCAGTAACAAAATTGAATATAGCTATTAGCACATATTTTAATTTTATTTATGTAAACCCCACATTTTCATTAAGAAAAAGGGATGAGGAGCATGAAATTAAATTTTGTCCACAGGCGGCCACATGGCTTGGGGTTGGCGCATCCCTGAATTAGCAGGTGGTCAGAAATCTGACTGAAACTAGCTGCCCACAGCTTCCATCTCTGTGTGTATCATACACTGAATTTTACAGAAATTTCAATTCAACATGAGTTAAAGGTGAAAGGGAGTGCCCTATTAATAATCTGGGAGTTATCAACAATAACTACTATTATTTATTCAAAATATTTTCCATGTGAAAATAACCAAATTCATAAAACCAAAAATATGGGACCATGGTATTTCAATGAAAATTTGGTTAGTATATCCAGGCTTCAGGTCAACCAGTAAGACAAGCTGCATACTGTTAAATATAGAACTAATAGGTGGTAGCTTTCCTCTGTTGGGTCTAGAAGTTTGCTACCATGAGTATCCCTTTTCATTATATTGTAAAATCACAGCTGGCTTCAAAATTCATACACACTGAATTAGGTGAATGTAATTCATCATATAAATTCAAAAAATTGATCCAGTTGATGATTCTAACTTATGTTGCAAGGAAAGCTCTACTACTTGAATAATGGTTGGATATTACTAAATTGCAAAGAGGCAATGCAGCCATTAGGGAACTTGATGCAATGTGAAAATCATATTAGTCTTTCTCATTGCTCTGCATATTATTTATGGTTATTAATATGCATTCTTTCTGAATTACTCACCATTTTCCATAACTTTTGTAATAGTAGCAGGAAACTTGCGAGAATCACTCCAAGCAGCTAGACATCTTTCACCAACAAGATACTTCTCTGTGGGACCCATCTTTCTAGAGCTAGCTTGTATTGGTCTCAAACGAGAACTATTCATGGAAATCCATTCATCATATTTGCTAGAAAACTTTTCAAAATGAATAAGCACCTCATTTTCTTCATAATCCACTTCCACAATTTTAGCTGGGAACCAGTCATTGTTGAAGTCCAAAGCTTCAATTCTTGTGTTTATAACAAAATTGATTGGTGTGGAGGATTTTCCACCAAGTTTGTTCTTTTCCAACCCATCTAGTTTTTCTTTAGATTCCACTTTTATTTCACAATGAGGTATTTGACTCTCAATATCAATATTATCAAGTGGCTCTTCCTTAAATTCCATAGAACTCTCAGCATTCTCATTTTTAATGAAACTGGTGTCCACCTCATCTTTCACATCTGAGTGTTTTTCTTTTTTAGCCTCAGCTTTGATAGCCTCTAATTTTGATTTATCCCAAGGAAATACACTGGGTAAGACACCTTGTCTCAACATATACTTTTTGCCTTTGAAATTGCAGAAATCTGCCCTTAGGAAGTGCCTTGAACATATGTATATAACTTTAGTCAATTTCTTGTCATCAGGAATTCTGCATAGAGACATCCACTTGGGTCTGACATCAGAATGAGGTGGAACTTTATGGAATGTCACACCAATATCTTCTTGTCTGCCGGAGTCCGATAAGCAGCCCTCAACGCTACATTTCCGGCCCATTTCAACAGATATCCTAAAGTGAACTGAATGAAACAACCAACAACAGGACAAGCTGAAAGCAAGTTAGGTTATGTTGAAAACTAGTAACTGCTACTGTTTCATCAGATCTCTGTTGTAACTCTCATTTCTCACAAGATTTTTACCAACAGTTAATAAATTACTTTAGAAAAATGAAATGTATCTACTTTCAAAAAATCCACAAATTTTCAAACGATGCACTGTTGTTTATTTATTAACCTATTAAACCGTCTTTCTTTTTTTTTCTGCTTCTTCTGTTTCTTCACATCAGTAGGCTTCTGCTATGGTATGACAGTGACGCCGGTTAGCGTTGCTAACACAAAAGCCAATGGCTAAATATCAAGTGAGCTGCCGACCTCAGGCAAACTTTACAGGGTGTTTCAAAACTCAGTATTCGGGGTAGCCCTCAGTAGCCATATGGGTAGCCAAGGTCCATCATCTGACGTTGCGATGACATGAAAACTACGGTGAAACCACACATGTCTAACTTTCAATCTAAGCCAGCAGAGGAAATGTTTTTCCATAGTTTTCATGTCATTACAACATCAGATGATGACTTTGACTACCTACCGCGAATAGAATATTTTTTTTCTATACTACTTCGTTAGGTACCGATCCACGCAGATTATTTCAGCTCTTTACTTCAGAACAAAGTCTTCAAGCAGACGTGTTCTTCTCTTTCGAATGATGCCCTCCAAACATTATATTCCCGCTACGCGTCGGGAGACAACACAACCTGGCGCTAAAATCTACTACTTTTTTCCCTTGTATAAGAAATAACTATTTATACATCAAGGTTGTACAGAATATCAGTATTACCCAGGAACCAAGATTATATTCCGAGGCTTCAGCAGAGGGGTAAAAGTTCCTGTGGTAATATTATTGTTTACTACCAAGGTGTATATTTTTTGTGAAACTGAAATATGAACCTACTGCCATTGAAAGCACTTCTCTTCAATTCAACTAGTAGCCATGACCATGACACACACACACACACATCAGCATATGATAATATGATAATCAACTACTAGATTCTAGTGCCATTCCTGCGAATCTCGCAGAAGAACAGTGAATTCTAGAGATGGCTATATGTCTTCATTGAATATTGGTTCATAAAATGACAAAAACTGCCTTGGTAGTAAAAACTAGGGCTGCGCGATATTGGATTTCAGTTATCGATAAGTTGAAATGTATCGATAAGTTCGATATTTATCGATAAATCGATATTTATCGATACTTATCGATATTTAAAAACTTAAATATCGTTATTCGATATATCGATATTTTATCCTAGCCCTAAATTGTCAAATATTGAGAGACTATATAGTTATTCAATACCGAAGTGGAAAAAAAATATTTCAGTATATTATTCAATGCAGCGCTTCAAATTAATTATAAATTCTTACACGAATTACTTTAATAACTTAATTTTGGCAATACCAACAGAAACATTCATAACAATTGTTCAAAATGATGACCATTATTCTCTATATAAAGATATCCTCTTCTCACAGTTGCTTCTAAGACATTACTGAGCAACCTTATCTTGGACACACTGTATATCGATATATCGATATTTAAACACTTGAATATCGTTATTCGATATATCGATATATCGATATTTTTTTCCAGCCCTAGTAAAAACACACTTTACGCCTTTAAAGGGAGCGAACAATGGTAGGTTAGGTTATCATATTGAAACCATGATGAATAAATAGTGTGTTGTGAAGCTAGCAGTAGAAAAAGGCATAACACAATATTATAAAACAAGGTTTATTCTTAAGTCATCCTTAAAAAAAAACAAATCTTAATCGAAGAGCCCAAGCCCCATGTCGTCGTCAGACTCCTCGGGCTCCTCCTCCTTCTTCTTCTCCGCGACGGGGGCGGCTGCGGCGGCGGCAGCGGGGGCGGCAGCAGCGCCCGCGGCGGCCGGGGCGGCGCCCACGCCGGACCCGATGTTGGTGATGAGCTCCCGGATGTTCACGCCTTCCAGCGCCTTGGCGAACAGGCCCGGCCAGTAGGGCTCCACGTCCACGTTGGCGGCCTTGAGGATGGTCTGGATTTTTTCACCCTGTATTATGAAAACATTAGATAGTTTGGTTCATCTGCTTCAATGCGAAATGCAACCCTGTAATCCTCCTAGGTTACTTCATAGACCAGTGCTGAAGCCTTTGAGAACGGTAAAAAGTGAAGAAAAATCATAGTAGGATGAAACTCATTGGAAAAGAGAATATCACGAAAATGGAAGGGGAAATGAATTACGGGCGATCTGAGGTCGGGAAGTGGTAGGGGGTGTTTTCAAGGGTAAAAAACGGTTTATCTTGATTTCCAGCAAAACTACGAGCCCTATGGAAAAAAGTTGAATAGCAAAGTTGTAGGTAATAAAGAGACCTACAACTTTTGTAATCACACTTTTTTCGCATAACCTCAAAATTTATGTGAAAAATTCAAATAATCAAGTTTTTAGTTTTTTATTTTTATCTTTTGCGAAAAAAATGTTTTTTCACGAAATTTGGTCAAAACTCACCTTTTTATATCCTCAAGCTCAAGACACTGTAATTTTTTTGATTCGAAATATTTATTTTTCAACCTTATATTGACTAAATATCTAAAAAAACACCCTAATTTTCAATCAAAAATTCTCACGTCAAAATATCAGCTTTTTAAAAAAACTCGTGGCGTTTTTTGTTCGTTGAAATCTCTTCTTTCTGATAATGTAAGAAAATATATAAATTACTATGGTAAATGATCTCAGAAAATGCAAAGAAAAGAAAAAAACTCGAATCCGAAATTTTTTTAATCACTATGTACAATTTTGAGCTATATAGTGAAATTTACACTTTAATTACATAAAGATTGCAAGATTTGAGCTATTTTGTAAAATTTTCACTTTAATTACTTGAAAAACGTAAGATTCTGTTACATAGAAAAACAAAAAAATTACAAATCCATAAATCATAAAGATTGCAAGAAACATACGAAAATAGTTGTTCTAAATATTAAGATAGGATTTAAAGGGGGGATTTCAATAAAAAAATGTGATTGCTGCAATTTTTCTTAGTCAAAAAGTTGATTCATCAAATTCAATGTCAGAAAATCTCATAATATATAAAATCGTACTATTGAATTTAGATACTTTATACTGATTATTATTATTCATAATAATATTTTCAAATGCATTTATCTTCTTATTTATGAATCTTATCTTGGCTGTTTCCATCCTTCACTTTCCGTCCTTATAGATTCAAAAAGTACCTCTCATTTTGGTCGAGATATCGTATAGGCGATGTGCCATATATAGAAATAGTAAATATATGCAATATTGGTTTAACAAGTTTCGTATTATTTTTTCCCTACGTTTGCATCAACGCCTATTGGTCGATTTCGTTACCTATAGAGACAGAAGTTGGTCCCGCTTTAATTTGGGATCACGCAACCGGTATGCCTATGTATTATGCAGCTTGAATGAAATCCTATCGAAATGCTCAACAGGTTAAGTGCCGCAATGCTAAAAAATTCAACGTCCCCATTGGCCAGAAACTTTTTTTCATCAAATAGGTTCTTTAACTCTTCATCAATGTTTTTGATCTCCATGTACGATTTTTAGTACCAAAAATGTGTTTTTTTAACGTGAGTCCAAGTTGGAGTTTCACGGCCACCAGCAAAACTTTTATCACGGGATGCCATTTGAGTCCAGCTTGGACTCTCAGGAGCACAGGCCAAGTACGGTTTCTAGACCATCTGGCCGAGCAGAAAACGCTCCTTTGTTTTTTAAATGGATGCGAGAAGGCAATGTGGAGCTACACAATATTTTATGACGGACGAACATGTGAGTCCAGGTCGGCTTCACGCGGCCTATATGACATTTTTTGTGTGATTCCGCGTTGGCCTCATGTGGCACTTGACCTGTTAATTTGCAAATAAATAATAATGAACTATCGATACTTATCGATAACTTTCGATAGTTATCTATATATCGATACTTTCCCCAGGCTTAGTTAGGAGTATGCTGAAGATGGCTTATGGGACAGTATGAGAGAAATACCAAGAAAAGCTGACTAGGTACTATTATAATGATTATGGTTTCACTAATTGTACCGGAATATGCGTATAGATGGCCTAATTTTGGAATATGAATTGGATTCGTCAAAGCTAATATTAGATATAGCAGGAAAAGTTCCCCCTTCAATAATGTATAATTTCAGAAAATGATATTACATAGGTAGAAGAATTACTTTTTTTTATTTACTGTCAGCCACCGGAATATTGGTAGACATATTTGGGCCTCCGTGTATTATCTGACCAGGGACGTATTTATCGCAATCGTGATTATTAGTTATCAGTTATAGTATCTCAAGCTTGATTTAAGTAATGTTGATGGATGAAAATTGTTTAGATAAACGAGGAGAAACTTCCAAGATAACTTAAAGAAAATAATTGAGTGGAGGGGTAAGACAGAATGAGCATATTTGGAAGAACAATAAATAAAACTAATTTGAATGCATTGTCTCTGATCTTCCTTTGGTAGTCTCATATGAATGATGAGCCACCATACACTAGAAAAGACTTTGCTGTTCCCACAACGAGCACACCGATGCCTACTCTAAGACGCAAACACGGCCGGCTTATTTGTGTGGGGTACTACTTGAAAGAAATACCAACGAACTACCATGAGATTTAAAAAACATAATTTCAATTCAATGCTTAGATATATCACGTTCATCTTGCCCAGGCGGAGGGGGGGGCAACTGAACTATTTTACGGGGTGTCCATAAATGGTCTGTACAAAATGAAACCATAGACTCCTGAGACCAAGGTGAGTTGATCAAACCCAATTCACCTCTATACCAAAACGCTCCAGTTAGCCGCTACAGGGCGTCGGAATACTCGGAATTGAATTTTTTTTTTTTTCATTTTTTTTTTTCGGATATTTCAACATCGTCTACGACCTATAAATATCGTTACTTAATTTTGTAGGCACACTAAAAGAGCTATTATGGATAAAAAACATTCCATACCATTTTGGTTAACGCACAGGATGTTACATATTTGGAGTACTGTTGATCGAATAATTGAGTACACCACTGAACAGATCTCAATGTTGTTTTATATCCCCATAAATTCATGCTATCCTTCATTCAATACTCTGACTTTCGAGGGTTGCTTTGCAACTAAGCTGGCGGTTAAAAACACTTTTTTTTATACCTAACTTTCAGCTCTCTTGAAAGTTTGTGATTTCTACTGGTTTGAAAGTTAATTGACCAAATTCAATTTGATGCATACCTGATACTCTTCAGAATTATTTATTGTAGCGACTAAACTGAGCGTTTTGGTATAGTGGTAAGTTAAAAGGGTCTGAGAATGCATTCAAAAAATTATTTCATAGGTTTAGTGGCAATAACACATATATCAACTTTTCTTCAAGTTTTCAGGACAATAATGTCTATGTTGTGGGGTTGTGGATATCAAAATGTATCCAACTTCAGTAACATATATATCATATTCTTCTAGAATGTTGGGGTTACTTCATCAGAAAGAAACTATGATTAATGTGATGAATTCATTTGAAATATTCTATTAAAAGTAATGAACAATATCTTATATGTATGATTCACCTGTGATTAAAAAATCAACCATACAATATATTGATTACTCAAGACAACTTTATTGGTTGATGCAATGTGGTATTACTATTATACTTATGACAGTGAAATTAATTATTGCTAATGGTCCAAGCACCATGTTCTCAAGCAAGTTAAGGAACAAAAATCCATAAAAATCGTGATTTTGCCAAATTTGGTGATATTCCACTATTGTAAAAGATTTGTAAAAGACCAAGTACCTATATTTGATGACAAAAAAACAAGGTTTCAAGATACAAAATTAATCTGGCGTTGAACAGGTGAAGTCTCAGTTGGCCAGAAAAATTTCAATTCACTGGCATTTCCTTTGGTTGTCTATAGCTTCCAAAGACACTTCATTCTGTGATATTCTGATGCAAATTCAATCTTTAGTTAGCTTCTAAGATAGTGACAGTGCATTAAACAGCTTTGGGGTCTGAGAAGCCCAATCTGTGTAACAAAGTTATACATTTTATTCTAAGAGATACATGTAAATTTCCATAAAAAAATGGATCATTTCTTGTTTTTTTCAGATAATACTTGTCACTTTTCTAGCTCATAACTTGAACATTTTAATAATTAGTTTTGCATGAAATCTTACAGAATTGAGTGTTGTAGGTATATCTTTCAAACAGTTTTCAAAGATGTGTTTTTTTATGAGAATTTCGCCATTTATATGTCTTTGATGATATCTCATGATTTAAACTTATTGTTCAATCCAAAATTTTGCATGGAAGCGATTATTCCATCTGAATCTCAAAAGTTGAGGTCCTACTGAACTGGAGGCGACTTTTATTTGGATTTCATAATTTTTGTACTTCCGTGAGAAAAAGACAGTCTTCAGTTCCTCCTAATAGAGTCTCATTTGATCTTTTGGGACTGACCCGTTACTAATGTAGCTTTACTATTTACAAAGAAAACTGGCCAAACCTACTAGAAATCCCAAAAAATCTGCAAACTGTCTACACTACACATCATGGGACCAAAGGAACTGTGATTTTTAGATTAGTATCTAGTGTCGGAATTAAATGATGACAACACTATCCAAAAATTACCATTCAACTCTTATTTAGGCGTTCCTGAATATTATTAGTATAGTATATTCATATTCAAAGTTATAGGATGCATTAATTTGAATAGCTAAAAACATATATAAATAAACGACAAAAACGATTATAATATATAGATATTAATATTGATACAGGATAAACTTAGTCGTTTCACAAGAAACTATGATAGGATGCCTCATCTTCCCGAAGAAAATAAAAGATATCCATTTCACTATTTTTTCAACATGTCCACATATTGAAATATAACTAGTTCAACCTAAAATTATGTACTTACAGTTACGGCGATGTCATCGTCGGCCAAAATCAAAGCCGAATAAACACAGGCGAGTTCAGCAGAGGAAGTCATAGTTTTTTAATTTTTGTGCAAGTCGCCGTTTGGCCTTAGCTCTGAAGAGAACAAGCACGCGCTTCGAATTCTTCGAAATGAAAGAGGAGGAAATGTGAAATGTGAGAAAAGAGAAATAATCGGAAATCAAACGTCAACTACCTGCCACTGTCATTTCTTTCAAGACGACACATGTCAGTTGTCAGTTCACTCTCCAACCACCAGTGTTGCCGGTTGTTGTTGTACCTTTGCAAGATCGATATCAGTCGATATTATGCCTATAAGATGCCTAGAGACTATAAACATCTCAATTATGTCAATCGTCAGAATTCAAACAGCCTTGATTTCAATATGGATGCATTTCGCGATAAAAAATAACACGTCTCTCCACCTGACGGCAGCAACCTAAACACTTCTGAGCGGTTTGTTTTGATGATATGACCAATAAGCACAAACAAAAAACAAATGTGAACCAATGAAAACAAAGTACATGCCGCTTTGACAACTTTCAAGAACTCTGACAGGTGGCGTACGCTTATTTTCTATCGCGATCGGCCTATCAGCAGGAAGATTCTAAAGGTATATTCAAACTTAAAGGAATTCCACAAAATTTATGCGAATCGCAAAATATGAAATTCCCAACAGAATTCCACGTTCATACTCATGCGATAAAATTTTGAGAAAATAAGGCACGTTACACGAAAGTAATTGAAATATTTATCAGGGTCATTCAGTCGCATTTATCGAACGAGGCTGTAACTTGGTAATGATCTCCATACATTTTTCGGCATTTAAAAATGCTTCGAACAATACAGCTACCTTTTTTGCGTCTGGATACAACATTAGCTCTATAGAGATGATAAAAAATGATACATTCAAATTAATTCTTCCAGAGAAATCAGCCTGCCAAGAAAATTCAATTTAGTGTAGAAATACTGTCTGTAGAAATGATGAAATTTATACCTAATTATAATTCTGTAATTACCTGTAGTGTAGGGGATATTTCATTCACATTTATTACCCGTCATGGTTGAAGCTGATAATCCCATTTCATTGTGCTTAACTGTGACGTCATTTCCGTTTGGGTACACCTCCCCTACCTGCCCTTGGGTTTACCAACTCCAACGTTGGTAAAGGTGGTTAATGTTAAAGTTGAAGAATTGTTTACGAAGTGAAATATGGAGGATATTATGGAAACACTCAAATTACTAATAAATAGTGTATGTCGATGATCCCGTTCATCATGGGCAAATGTACAGATATTGCGAAATGGTAGGGTAGGGATTAGGAAAGTGAATATTTCTTTATGTTCTTCATGTTTCCAGATTACAAGCTCTCAAAACAATATGTTTTGGGTTTATATGCACAGGAGAGAACTTATACTATTCTTTGCTATATGGCTCCAACGACGATGTCCATCGTGACTTCAACTATCTCTCCTCATCCGAAACATGCGATAGAAATTTGATTCTAGGTAATAATCTATCCAGGTTTCAAAGAAATGTTTCCTGAAATGATGACATTTGATACCTCATAGAGCAGTGATTGTAGTAATACTCCGATGATTCGATCTCTTTCATCAAATGAAGTAATCTGTCGTTTTCTCCTAACAAAACAGAGGTCAAATCATCCATTATGAATAACATGGTTGAACACAACTCATTTTCTTATTGTTTATTTTTATAGACGTGATCAATTGGGTTTGTACAATATCAATAAAACATAGATAAACAACAAATATTTTTCCTCTCGGATTCAAAATGACAAAAACCTGAGGTTATGACCACTTATAACTGAGTAAACTGGGTAAAGTGAAACATAGGAGTTCAAAAATGGTTAATGTTGACGTCATTATGACTTAGTTGCCTCCAAAGTTGCCTCCCACCACTTGAACCAATATACTATAACCGGGTTTAACGGGTAATGTGAATGAAATATCCCTCTGTGTCTCCCAACGTCTCCCTAACAAGAAACACGAACCTCAACATATCACGTGATGGGAATGGTTCGAAAGATTTAGGCACATCTGTTGAAAGTTGACATAAGTTGAAATGTGTTTTATTATTTTTATGTTTTTAGTTGCGTGTTGCGTCCCAAAAATAATTTCATAACAAATAATCAAATATTATTGCAAATTGAAATTCTAGTTAGAAAGAAAGATATGGTACTTGAACTAAAATGACACTATTAGTATCATAATGATGTGTATAAATGTTTCTCTATTGTAGAATGGAATTATATTGGCTGGTCTCAGCTTGGCGGCTGTAGGATTTGCAGGAAGATATGCATTGAGACAAATGCCCAATGCAGCAAAAACTTTCAATGAAGCTATGCAAAATCTTCCCAAGTTTGATTCAGCTTCAGTTGCAAATTCCAAATACTATAAGGGTGGTTTTGACCAAAAGATGAATCGAAGAGAAGCTGCTCTGATTTTAGGCAATTATCTTATTTTTTATGGTGGATTTAATACATAATTATTCAGATTGTCAATCAACAAAATCATACTTCCCTAATGACCACCCTGGTGAACTAACTTTTTCAAGTGACATAATGTTCCTAATACATCATGCAATACTTATCTACTTAATTCAAATGAATGAATACATTTCTATATCATTAACATGGGTAGAAAAAAAGACACCACATTGAAAGTGGTCATGTGGCACTCATTCATTGTTCAAGGCCCATTACAGTTATGTTGGCAGATGTTATTGTAGTATGAATTCTGTGTGATAAGCATTCTGTTTGAATCCCATATCACTAATGAGAGTCAATAATGCCAGTATATCTTCTTGTATAAATCTTTATCAATTAATTTCACAGATAAGGAAATAGTCTGAGGGTAATCATTTTAGCATCATTGACATGCTTTGATTCTGCTTCATACTTAGGTTGATCTCATTCATGATGAGATGGTCTGGCAATTGAATCATATGGAAACTTTTTTTATGCATAGATCAAGAAAAAACAGCAGTTGCCGAGAAAATTTCAAATGTTGGTATAAAATCATTTTATATGGTTTGCAGGAGTGACTCCATCAGCTAACAAACAGAAAATAAAAGATGCCTTTAAAAAAGTTATGGCAGTCAACCATCCAGATAGAGGAGGATCCCCATACTTGGCATCAAAAATCAATGAAGCAAAGGATTTCTTAGAAAAACACAAATAGATAATTTCAAAGGCTAAATGAATGTAATAAAAAAATTCAAAGATTGTGATAATAGTATACAGGAATAAATAGATGAATAGGACTAGAGTTTGTGAAAATTTTGATGGTCTTTGGGTTTTGTTCATAGTTTTTTCTTCCCATATTTAATCCTCAATTTATCTATTGTAGAGTTTGACAAATTACCAGAGAGTTTGAAAATGTCCTGGAATAAAAAGATCATTCATAATATACCTATTAGAAGTGTTGTAGTTTACTTACATTCATGAATTGATGGCAGTTAATTACTGAAGGGTGATTTTTCATTTCCCTAAAACAAGTAATCAGTTCACCTAACTCACTGGTTTGCAGAATTTTATCTTTGTGAAGTCTAATCAGAGTTAAAGCAACCCGAAAAATTATTTTTGAACCCTCATAAAACAGGCAATCCCATATTCTAAATACAGTCTCTGTAGGTAGCACTTCTGAAAATAAACAAATAAACCACTTTGTGGTTCCCATTGCCCAGGGCATGCCAATATTGTGTATGTGTCTATGGACTAGAGGTTCATATTTATGTACTAATTCATCTAGTACATCAAGATCAGTCAGTAATCCAGTCATTGTTACAATGTAGTATTGGGGTAATATTTTTTCCACAAGGATTTTAAGAAGCCAGAATGATGATTCTTCATCTTTGGTTGCTAGAAGTAATAACCCCACAATGTAATTCAAGCCTTGACAATAACTGACTTCTTTATTTTGATGAGCAAATGTAGCCAGCACATTGAATAGCATTCCAGGAAGATGCTCATGGCTAGAAAAGTAAATGTTGTCTGGAAAGGTCCTTGGCAAGTCTATTTCAATTATGTCTATTATGCTCTGATTACTTATTTTTTGTTTCATTGTTCTATAAGTGAATGTGCTGGAATTTTTTATATCCTCAGCTCCAGAAATATGCATCCATGCAGCAGTACGAATATCACTTGGAATTCCTTTTCTTATGAATCGTTTCAAAGTACTGGGTTTTTTATAGATATCATATTTCAATGTATTCCACCTTTGTGCCCTGCGAGTTAAAACTCTGATGTAACTGGACATGAAGTGATCATATAATTCATAGTTAAAGTTAGTTGGTCTTTCAAAACCATATTCATCCACTTTACTGAAAAAATGAGGAGTTGGGAATGCTCATAATTCTTGTATTTATTTTAGGATGGAGTTTGGTATTACCTGTATGAGGATTTTGCCATCATTACTAAGATGTTCTATACATAAACATGTTATATGATAACTACTGTGCACCCACAGTCTTCTGGGACAGAAGAAAAGTCTGGTAATGTATCTCTGCAAGAGATATACGCCTTCTGAAATATAAAGTGATGATTCATTTGGTTATCATTAATTAATAATTGAACTCATTAACCTTATAACAAAAATAGACAGCCAAATAAATGATTATTTGTATACATACAGAACGATTTTCTATTCAAAATCCATTTTGATGAATCTTTCAGTTAAATGAGAACTGCAACAACATAATTATTATTACCCAATTTCCAGTTTTTTAAATTTTGCTCATGTTCGGCAGTACAGCAGTTTGACTAGTTTGACGACTGACTGAAATTCTTTGACTGAATACTGAATCCAAGACAGGAGAGCCTCTCGACAGTTGTTCCATTATTCTGGCTTCCAACGCATGTCTGTGCTAGGTCTGTGCCAAAGACAATCATCACAATCATCTACAGTTCACCTTGCGACATAGGCTTATTATTCATAGTGGTCTTATTTCTAAAACTATTTTATTCACCCAAATCTGATGAGAAATGTACGAAAGCACCCTGGTGTCACGCACACTTTTCTTTTTTTGAAAACTCATTATAATGACTTTTTTCTCATTATAATGAGTTTTTTCTCATTATATTGACTTTTTTCTCATTATATTGACTTTTTTCTCATTATATCGACTTTTTTTTCATTATAATGAGTTTTTTCTCATGAAAATGAGTTTTTTCTCATTATAATGAATTTACTTTCTTTCTTCGGAGTCTTTTCCTGCTTCTAAGACTAACACCAATAGGGTCCAATTCTTTCAATATAATTCTCACACTTCTATTCGTAATTACAAATCCTTGCTGGATGCATTTCAAATGCATCCATCGATAGCCGTGTAACTGTCCGTACTTCTCAACTTGTTCGGCTATAAAATTCAAAACTTCTGGTAGGGGAGTAAAATATTTCTTTCTGTAGAGGCCCATTATCTTCAATATTCGTTTAACTGTTGATAACTTATACACTGTTTATGATATACCGTCAGGAAAGCCATAATTTCTTCGCAACTAAGACCCAATAAAAAGTAGTATGCAATATAATTGGCCACCACATCCATTTTGATATAAATCATAAGAAATCTAATTAATAATGATAATCTAAACCAAAGAAATCATGTTTACACAGAAAATATAAAGGCGAATAATAATAAAGTCATTATACCTATATAATGAGAAAAAAGTCATTATACAGGGTGTTTCACAGGTAAAGGGAAATATTTCAATGGTAGATAGGGGTCACCAAGGTGGTTCTGAAAATACCATATTTGATAGGTCTTAGAGTTTTGATAACGGAGATACAGGGCGATTTATATGGATTTCGAATAATTATTCATTCGTCTATAAGTATTGAACTACCCAGTATATTTTTCTAAAATTTGGTATGGAGCTTAAACTTGGGACGTTGAATGCATTCACCTATCGGGCGAAGTGAAAATCCAGGTTCGGCTTCAGGAAAAATTTACATTTATTCGAAATATTAAAATAACACACTGTATGTAATAATTGACAAAGTTCATCAAAAGAATCGTGAAGAGGAGGAAAAACTGAACTGGAATTGATGCTTTTTGTTTTCCCGCCACCAATTCTGATCGTAACAATCATAAACAGGAAGCTAAAAGTATGTCAATTTCAAGAGTATTAAAATTATGAAACCACTTTCAATTATGATCATTTGATATATTCTTGTTAAATGATCGTTCGAAAGAACTTACTTAGTCTCACAGTCTTTATAACAGAAATACAGGGTGAATTATCACTCGTCCAAAAGTATTAAACTACCCATCGCAGTAATATTTTCAAAATTTGGTATTGAGCATACTTGGGACGATGGATTGATTCATTGACCTATCAGGCAGAATGGAAATACAGGTTCAGCTTCAGGAAAAGTCTCATAGTCTTTATAACAGAGATACAGGGTGAATTATCGAATTATAATTCCGCCTGATAGGTTAATGAATCCATCGTCCCAAGTAAACTACAAACCATATTTGAGAAAATGTTACTGGGTAGTTTTATACTTATGGACGAGTGAATAATTATTCAAAACCGATGATCCACCCTGTATCTCCGTTATAAAAACTGTGAGACTTAGTAAGTTCTTTCGAGCGATTTTTTGACTAAAATATATCGAATATAATCATAATTGACACTGGTTTCATAATTTCAATACTCTTCAAATTGACATACTTTCAGCTTTCTGTTTATGATTGTTACGATGAGAATTGGTGGCGGGAAAACAAAAAGCATCAAATCCAGTTCAGTTTTTTCTCCTCTTTACGATTCTTTTGATGAACTCTGTCAATTATTACATACAGTGTGTTATTTCAATATTTCGAATGAATGTGAATTTTTCCTGAAGCCGAACCTGGATTTTCTCTTCGCCCGATAGGTGAATGAATTCAACGTCCCAAGTTTAAGCTCCATACCAAATTTTAGAAAAATATACTCGGCAGTTCAATACTTATAGACGAATGAATAATTATTCGAAATTGATAAATCGCCCTGTATCTCCGTTATGAAAACTCTAAGACCTATCAAATATGGTATTTTCAGAACCACCTTGGTGGCCCCTATTTACCATTGAAATATTTCCCTTTACCTGTGAAACACCCTGTATAATGAGAAAAAAGTCAATATAATGAGAAAAAAGTTATTATAATGAGAAAAAAGTCATTATAATGAGAAAAAATTCATTATAATGAGAAAAAATTCATTATAATGAGAAAAAAGTCATTATAATGAGAAAAAAGTCATTATAATGAGAAAAAACTCATTATAATGAGAAAAAAGTCATTATAATGAAAAAAAAGTCAATTTAATGAGAAAAAAGTCATTATAATGAGAAAAAACTCATTATAATGAGAAAAAAGTCATTATAATGAGTTTCCAAAAAAAGAAAAGTGAGCGTGACACCAGGGTGCTTTCGTAGAAATGAGAACGAGCCATCTACTTCTCGAGAACCCATTTCAAGGCAATGAACTCAATATTGAGTTCATTGTTTCAAGGTCCGTTATAAGTAAATGTGTTATGCTGATTTGAAATACTGTACCAAAATGGTACATTTTCAGTTTAACGTGTGGTAGACTTTATATGTTGGGCGCGGCAACACTGGTTCATATCTATATTGACATTGACCATATTCCATCATAATCGATTTGGATGTTTTTAAATTAGATTGAACTACAGTAGAGCTACTGTGATTGAACAATGAATTTTATAACTTCAATCAGAGGCACATTATCATCTAAAACACTGATAAATACTGCACAGAATGTAAGATCTCATACTGAACAATTTAAATCAAATTGTGGAGAATTCTTTAGTTTCAGCAAATAAGGAATAAATATGTCAACCGCTGGATGATCAGGGACGTAAAGAGACGTAAATTAACCACCGAACTTGCCCCGATGAGGCTACGAATAAATTCTCTTCGAAAAAACGATGTACTTCCTCCTGAAATTCGAGAACTAGCTGATGCAGACATCAATGCAATGCCTAGAGACTCTGCTTTGGTGAGGTGTACAAATAGGTGTGTTATAACTTCCAGGCCCAGAGGAACTGTGTATAGATGGAGATTAAGTAGAATTGTATTCAGACATTTGTCAGATTATAACAAACTTTCTGGTGTTCAAAGAGCCATGTGGTGATTAGCTACCTAGTTAATGAAGTGTTTCAAATCAATGGCTTAGTGGCAATAACAGGTATCATGTTTCTTCAAGTTTTCAGGAGTCAACATTTATGGTCTATGTTGTCTGGTTTTGGATATCAAAATGTATGCAACATCAATAATGCATATCATATTCTGCAACTGCAAGAATGGTGAAGTCATTTCATCAGAATGAAACTATGATCCATGTGACCAGTTTATTTGAAATATTCTACTTCAAGCAATAAACAATCTCTTATATAATAATATATAACCTGTGGTTCAAAAACATATAGTATATTGCTTACTCAAGACATCATTCTGAAGACTCTGAAGACTACTTTTTTGGTTGATAGGTGGTGTGGTATTGGTATTACTTCTTTAATTGATACATGGTATTGCTTATGACAGTGAAATAAAGTATTACTATTGGTCCAAGCAAGCATGTTGCATGTTGAGGAACAAAAATCCTTGAAAATCATATTTTCTCAAATTTGATATGTGGTATTACCACTAAGCCATCACAATGTGTAGAATATACTTACTAATTTGACCATTATTTAAAAAAAGCATCAGTGGCATTGTGAGTTTGTCATCTGGAGAAGCAGCAATTAAAAAATATAAAAATTTGGTCAATTTCTGATAATCATATCATGTGATACCCTTTTCCATTGGACTGAAATTATGCACTCAGTGGACATCTATCCTTGAATAATTACTTATGATAAACATTCAGTGCAAAAAAGTTCCAGCTAGTGCACTATGTTCCTAGAACATTATAGGGATTCCCTTTCATGTGCTCCAAGGGATAAAAAAATACCTATCCAACTCAAGTTGAAAATGTATACTCAAATTCCAAAATAAAAGGATCGATTCGATTGATGGAATAAATCTCACAGGCATGCTGATTGTGAATTAATAATATATTATAGATATATCATTATGAAATTGAACTAATTGAAGTGTACTGAGCAAATATTTTCTGAAATCAATCTTAAATCTTTCTGCTTCATCAATATTTCTCAATGAATTGTATAAAATTATTCCACTATGGTATATAACATATCTTATGATTGCTGAAGAAATACTCAATAAGCCTCAGAGAAATGTGAAAGAAATACCTACATATAGAAAACTCTTTAAACATCTCTCAGGCAATATGTCAAATCAAATTATGTCAATTTCATATTTATATGATTTGAAATCAGATAGGAAATCATTGATAAATGGAGAAGCTATGCCTGATGAATATTTAGAAAATTGTAACTAAAATGAAGAATGATGTGAAATGGCCCCAGCATACATGATAGCATGGTACAGTTGTATTTAAAAAAAGTGTAGGAGTATTAGAAATAGAAAATTACCAGTCACTCTTTCATCCTATTTGCGGAAAACGCGCTATGTAGGGAATGACTGTTTACCAAATGTTGACAGTTGTCTCGGTTGTCAAAAATACAAAGCAGAGATTAGTCAACTGTGGTTGCAATGGCTGAGCCAGTTTTACACAACCAACAACTGAACTCAGTGCTGCCAACTCAGCGATTTTATGGCTAGTTCTAGCCATTTTTAAACTCATCTAGCTACTAAAAATTGCATCAAGCCGTTAAGCCACCTTTTCAAGCTATTTTTATTCTGAATTTCCATAAAAATATTTTCATTTTAATAATATTTCCATAGAAAGTTAGTTCATTATATTCACTCTGAATTTCCATAAAAATATTTTCATTTTTATAATATTTCCATAGATAGTTAGTTCATTATATTCACGATCTAATCTTAGTCAAATTTATAGTCTAGTCTGTATTTCTATGAAAAATTGAACGTTGACGTTAATGACCAACATATCACGTCAACGTCAATACTACTAGAGTCAGTAGAGTCTAGCTCTAGATCTAAGCTCTAGATTCAATTTTTAATGTCAGATTTGTCAGAATCGTAGTCCATGGTCAGATCGAGTCAAATTTCTTGTTTTTGGAGCTATTTTATACAAACAAAATATGTCGAAAGTCGAAATAAGTATGATATAATCTGTGATTCCATTTCAAACATTTGAAAGGTTGTCAGTCAATGACATTTATGACATAGACATATCACATCATTATGATCCGAACTAACTGAAATATCTCTCTAGAATTGAACTGAATCGGTTCCTTTGAAAGAATTGTCAGTTCAGAAGGAAATAATATCATTATTCGCGATAGAAAATAAGCGTACGCCAACTATCGGAGTTCTTGAAAGCTATCAAAGCGGCTTTGTTTCCATTGGTTCACATTTGTTTTTTCTATGTGCTTATTGGTCACATCATCAGAGCAAACAGCTCCGAGTTCAAGTTGTTACCGTCAGGTGGAGTGACGTGTTATTTTCTATCGCGAATAACAACGAAAATAGTTTAGTGGCACAGACTTTTTGGGATTTTCTCCTCGTTTCTATAAAATATAAATATTCGTATTATTTCAATATATTTGTAGTGGGACAAGAACATTCTGCAATTTGGGATGCTTTGATAATTGAACATTCTCTATCCGTCTAAAATATTTTCATCGATACAGTGTTGCCACTTCTATCAGAAACAACTAGCAACTTCGTTATTCGGAAATGGAGCACCCTGTATTTTATTGCATTTTTAGATTCTTCCTAAAGAGCTGATTTCTTCAATGTATTACACTTGCGGTCTAGCAGGAATGATTACAGAGATATAGGGTGTTCAAAATCGAGATTTTTCAAGATACAGGGTGATCAAAATTCTGAATCTTGATGCTCCCTGTATTTTTTACAATTAAATTCCGGTAGATAGTGAATTAAAAGTTAAGATAGGGACATGTAAGCCGTTTTGATCGATAATGAATAGTTTAGACACTAAAAAATCCTAAAATTGAAAAATCTCTTTTTTGAATATCCTATATCTCTGTAATCATTCCTGTTAGACCCCAAGTGTGGAACATTGATGAAATCAGCTCTTCAGGAAGAATCTAAAAATGGAATAAAATACAGGGTGTTCCATTTGAAATAACAGAGTTGCTAGTCGTTTTTTATAGAAGTTGCAACACTGTATCGATGAAAATAGTTTAGACGGATAGAGAATGTTCAATTATCAGAGCATCCCAATTTTCAGAATGTTCTGTCTTTTCGTTCTCCAGATACTTCTAATAGCCCATCCACCGTGGATCACCCTGTATACTAGGTATATGTCCACCCAACCGTGAATAGACAATAACCACCAAGTTAATGCTATTCATGGTTGAGTTCAAAAGTTAAACTTGGTCTTATATTACTAAACTATACAGAGGGTTAAATGGGATAGGTCCATTATTCTTCTTTATAACTCTATAACTATTCTTAAATATCTCTAAACTTTCATAAGCATATGAAAGTGATATGATATATTATGACATCAGTTGTCATTCAGAATCCGATGAGGATCATGATGATTATGTCGATGACAACGATGATACCGATGAAGACGATACCGATGATGATGATAACGGCGACGATATTCAGTTTTCACATATCAATTCCAAGATTTGTGATTGAATAAATGCATTTATTGAGAACTTCAATCATAAGAAAACTATTTTTCAAGAACTTGTTGAGGGGTTCATTTTTCATTCAACTTTTAAAAAATTCTACATATCTACAGGTCAAAATGATATGCAAATTGCTAAATCGTGATATTTTGACATTATTTCAATTAAAAAAAATAGTTATTTTTGTATCTAGAGCGCGAAATGCTACTTTGGTGTTGGTGATCGAGATGTGATTTTTTTAACGAGGCGTAGCCGAGTTAAAACAATAATCGAGATGACCAAAGTATTTTGCGTTCGAGTTGCAAACAAAATTTTTTCTACAAACGTCAAAAAATATAGTTAGTTCTAAAGTAAAAATATGCTTAGCTTGATATGAAAAAAACTGTTGAACTGGCTTGAAAGGCCTCCCACTATCCTACCTAGGTACGCACGATGTTCCACGAACATAATAGGAATTTCCTTTCGTGCGATCCAAGAGATAAAACAAAGTTATTGTTGAACATTCAGAACATAATAGGAATTTCCTTTCGTGCGATCCAAGAGATAAAACAAAGTTATTGTTGAACATTCAGAAATGAATGATTTCGTGAATGTTTGCTCGATGGAGGACCATAAAGTTGAAATATAAATATCTCATATATTTTACATAACAATGCGCGAAGTAGGTACTTCGCGCACTGTTTTGTGCAAGGTATCATGGTAACGTAAGAAACTGAAAAAAAAATGTCACTTCGCAATTTGTTATCAATGATCGAACCTTGTCATTTTTTGACGTCTGTAGAAAAATAAAATTTTGCAACATTCAAATTGTTTTGTGATATCATAGACTATGTATGTTTACATTAATTTCTTTTTCAATCGGTAAATAATCGTTATGAGTGTTCACAAAAAAAGAGCATGTTCAAAAAATTACTACAGCGCATGTGCACGCTACGATTGTATGCAAAGTAGTTCATCGTGATACAAGCAACCCAAAAATTGAGTATGCGAAAAAGCAATAAAAGCATACGTTAACTAATTGTTCAACAATTCCCCCTGCTCTTCATCACATGTTCAGTTAATAATTTTGGGCCTTCCTACAGCGCATGTGCACGCTACGATTGTATGCAAAGTAGTTCATCGTGATACAAGCAACCCAAAAATTGAGTATGCGAAAAAGCATACGTTAACTAATTGTTCAACAATTCCCCCTGCTCTTCATCACATGTTCAGTTAATAATTTTGGGCCTTCCTACACGAGTGCACAGTATGCAAATTTTTTCCACGGTATAATTTTTTTCAAATTTCAACAAGAACCAATTTGCATGCATTAAATAATTGATAATTGTCTAGAACATGTTACTAACCCATGAAAATCATTTCTTGAAAGTTGCATACATACCCCCTCGGCCTTAGATTTGGCGTCTAAGGCCAATATTTCCTCCATTTGCCTGGATAACCTTGTCAAATTCTGGAGATATCTCTCATTGGCGTCCACGTCGCGAGGGGGGGGCTTTGGGAAACGGCTACTTAGCTGCTTCGCAAAGGCTAACAATGAGAAAAGTCACCCAATCCTAAGGTGGAGTGGATCCCGTGCCGATGGGATGCGTGGTACATGGGAGATGTGCAGACAACGAGCCCTCCAGAGAACCAGGCGAAACTCTGGAGTAAACAGCCTTGCCTCAGTAAACGGCTCTGCTGAGGTCGACCAACACATCCGCATTACTCGTGGGAACCATATGGAAAACCAAAAACAAAATAATGACGAACCTGCCCATCTGATGGAGGTTGAGGGGACACCATCCTCATCTTCATTGGATGCAGAGAATAGGCTTCTGGAGGGCGACTCTTCTGGAACGGGAACTGAGGCACATCAAACCTTGGTTACTGTGGAGGAAGAGCGCATCCTACAGGAGCTGATGGAGTCGACAGAGGAAGGGGAGGAATCTGGGGGCAGCCGTGAGCAGCCACCGGTTCCAAACCCTCAGGATCTGCCGGACACAAAAGTGAAGATGTCTGGAGCGCAGCGCAGGAAGCTGGCGATCCAGGCGGCTATGGCTCGTGGGGACCCGATCATTCCTAGGAAGCCTAGGTCAAATCGGAGGCCCAC